AGTAAGTACTATGTCTATTTTCGCGTTACTGTATTACGTTATCTAACTTAACGACCTTTAGTTTGTATCTGAAGGATTTCAACAGCGCAGCTCGTTATTTCGAACTTATCACTGGCTGTGATACTGTTCGAAACCTTTAGACATTGTAACACACTGCATTTGGGCTGAACTGTAAGTGCATTGGATTGTAACAAGAGGGGCACTGAGACGGAGATTAGTTTAATAGAGAGTATTGTATCGCATCAGGAGTTACTGTCACAAGAAACATCTTATCTTGAAACGAGATAATGCCGTTGACACTAAGGAGGAATAATGCCAACACCAGGGCTGGTCTTTCTGTAGATAGAAGAATTAACAGAAACAACTTGCGAGAGTGCTAATCGTTATGAAGACTGGTGCCGTAGATAGTCTCGGGATAGGACAGGTCATTCGTTTTGACTACAAGGACCTATACGACTTTTCACACTATACAGGTTGGCTACTTGTCGTTTTATAGAACTTAACGGTTTATTATTATAACTAAGGATTCGTTATCTTGCTAGCTGTCTGCCAATTCCGGACCGTTAGAAATACTGAGTTCTGCTCTGATAGACCGCTATCATTGACGAAACGTCCACTATTGGTGTTATTTGAAGCAAAGTGTGCCTCAGAGCTTTAATCAGTAGAGAGAACTTAAGATATCTTCAACACGTGTATTCAAGTCAGGGTCTTGTTCATTGTGGCGAATATCACTGTATAGGGTAAAGATGAAATCATTTCTTGTAGAACACTGCAACCCAGCCCCATTAGGAGTCGAAAGTCGTTTTTATTCCTGAGGTTAATAACAATGTCGCTGATACAGGTGGTTGTAGAGCGACCATAATAATGGGCTTCATCGCTACTAAGGAGGACCATAATTGGCTTCAGCGATCGCAGATGAGGTTTGTGGTATTTCCAAGTTGAAGTCCGTCGTGCAGCCAGGAAGCGGAAGTGCCTGAGGCACCAATCGAAGCTAAGGTTGCTTATGGGACGCGGAAGGGTTGAATAGTACTACCGAGTGCGGCGAGGATATCCTACCGAGTAGTAGGACCTACTGGTGCAGTGCAAATAGAGTCCCAGCTGTAGAGTGACACCGAAGTCACAGAAGTACTACTCTCGATATGTTCAGATGATAGGGAGTATATCTCAAAGCCGATACCAGTTCTAGTACCTTTTATGATTTATAGAAACACCGCCACAACTATACAAAGAGGGGAGTACACATCTTGTTACCCAGCATCCCCAAGGTAGAAAGTAAGATAATTCTCTCCGAAACTGTTCTCCTTTAAGATACAGTCTCCTATCTTTCTCTAAGTCAAGCTCACTAGGAGTTTCCAATTGTGATGGAAATCTCACTACCATACCCCTCTGAGGGTGCACCAATCTGAGCGGCCAAATGAGATGGGACTGGCTGGTTTCTCAGAAGAGCGACTCCATTAGCCGCTACACTAACGACCTTGTTCCGGGAAGTAGGGTTCGAGAATTTCAGACCGTTGCAGACGTAGGTGTAAACATTATGACTTCCTTGCCTCACCCACTTTCCGACCATAATGAATGAGATAGTGACTCCAGCCATAAGCATGGGTTGAGGATCCGCAACGCCGTAGGGAACCCGAATGCCATCAAGACGCTTCTCAAGGCTGACGACACCTCGTTCTTGGACATCTGACCTGGCAACTCTGTGACCTGTTAGTTTGGCAAGGAGGGGGAGAAGGCTGCAACATACTTGATCGACCCAACGTCTGTACCGTCAATCTTGCTGTATTTCACATCTTCAAGGGAAGGATGTTTGGTGTCTTCCTTGACATCGCGTTCAACTGGTTTGGTGGCGAGCGCCAGAGCAAGAGAGACAAAACCGAGAAGAGTGAAGAATTTCATGTTGGAAGTTTGCAACCAAGGGGATTTGGATGTATTGCTTGAAGTTGACTGTAAGAGATGAATAGTATCTTAAATAGAACTCGGGGTACTGAGTTTGCACTTTTGTAACCGCGGAAGTATGTGATAGTACCTTGAATAGAACTCGGGGTACGGAGTACTGGGTTCGCATTTTTATACTCGCGGAAGTTTATAGAGTTTCATTAATATTATAAGCTTTGTAAAGTCCCCATACCGTTACAGCCAATGGCAGAAAGATTAAAAGTTCCCGGCCCGAACCTACATATTAAACTTTAAACCCTAGTAATACGAATGTCCCACTCGACACTGTTTGTGTATAGCCTCCTTGCCCGTACGTGAGAAACTGTCGGCAGTTAATGGAATGCAAGTATGAAAATCATCAATCAGAGTTCAATCTTTCTGGACCATTGTGGTCTTGCCGCTTGTATATCATGCATGCTCGGCAGTTGTTATATTACTCTGCATAGTTAAGTGCCCAGTGTTTGTAACATATGCTATTAGGTACTAACAGCATTTACTGAAGCCCGGAACAAGAAATACAAGGCTATGAACAAGTATTGTAAAGAAATACAAGTAGTTTGTGTTTGAGTCTAGTATAATTGCTATACATGCAAGTGAAGAAGGACACTAGATTAAGGTGGAAAAACTACAACGCAGCAAAAAAACCACCAAATGCCCAACCCTTAACTCCATCCTCCAACGTTTAGGTCTGGAAGTTGATCGAAATCGTGTCGCCTGGGTTGATTGCGCCGAGTGGATCATAGTTGATGGTATGATGGGCAGCAATGTTCAAGTTTGCAGCGTCCAAACCCATGTCTACCTCGCGAAGTGACACCTTAGCATTACCTCCACCATTATTGGTAATTTGGAAGATAAGATCGCCAGCGGCATCAACAATGGCTTTGACTATAACAGCACCAATATTCTGTATCGCAGTGCCGGCGTGGTTCGGTATGTTCATTCTTCTGTTGGCTCGCTTCTCAAGAGCATTGCCGGGAAGGGTTTCCAGGCTAGTTACATTGTCATGTCAGAGACTTCAGCTTCATTGTGTGGTACATTATAACATACCTGGTGGGATCCAACTCAACTCGCTTTCCCAGAGTCAGGTCATTGCTGCCTGGTGCCAGGGATGAAGGGGAACCAGAAGGAATCGGAGTAGCCGAAGCTAGCAGAACCACGCTGCCGAGGCCGATAAGAGCAGGCTTCATTTTGATGTCGTTGAAGAAGAATAATGATTGAGTGTAAAAGATGTTGAGGTCAGTATAGCTATTGTACGAAAGACCAGCCCTTTAAAAGCACGGATGCAGATGGGCTTAAACACCTGTCGTTGTCTGCTGTATTCCAGAACATAAACAAGCTTTCCATTATGGATACCTCTACGTAGCTAAAGTCGGCAGACTGCTGCCGAAAAGGATGAAGGATTTGCGTAGGAATTAACCCACAAATTTAAATCACCTATGATGATCCTTTACCCGAAAGACGTTGAATGACTTCTCCACTTCAGCCCCGTATAAACCAAAGCTCGAGCTTCATATGAAAAGTCAAAATACACAGTCATAATATGTATCTGCCGACAGAGTGATTGAGGCAAGGAAACAGTAATTACCTGCCTTGATAGGCATAGAGCCTGGTCTGAATGTAGTCATTGATGCTTTATGCTCAATTGATGTGGGCATATATGCATCCACAGAAGCTCGGATATATGAAACCACGGCGGTGAAGATGACTGGAAAACTTCCTCTATCATTTCGGACATTCGGAAGTTTGGCAATGTCCGGCAGTCGAGTGTCGATCAAGACTTGGAACAACTGGTCTGCAAGGCCTGTAGTACTACTTTGCAACCGTAGAGGATATCCAGTGTTCTCAGCTCAATGAACAAATGACACGACAATTATGATGAAGCATGTAGATATTAAAAAAGACTTACCTACACTGATGGCCAGCTACAGAGCGTGATTGTAGGAGTCTTGCAGCAAGACATAGAGCATCAAGACTGGCTCCACGCTGTCAAGCTACGGCCTCCCAACGTGGCCAGTAAACCCTTCCCTGTCCCACTTGGTTTTATTTGGAACTTTGGCCTGAAGTTTGAACTCTACTTTTGAGGCGAGACGAAGCGGCAGTTCCTTTCGAAGAGACTTTGTTGAAACTCCTGGATCCATCATCACGAGAGCGACCCATCTCGCTTACCGCTCTTCAACAAGCCCCGATAGAATCACGGCAAAGATGTTCGGACAACGTTTTCTCAGTGTACAGTAGTAGGTATCTATGTATAAATATGCCCTTCTGCTTTGCCCTCTCTCTTATTCGATTCAAATCAGTTCAACCAAGACATCATCACTCTCCAACTCTTCGCCTTATTGCACTCTTTACCACTCAAGACTACTTTCAGTCCTCTCACTAAACACCTTCACCATGCGTTTCGCCATCACTCTTCTTCCCTTCATCCTGCCCGTCTTGGCCAGTGACCACAAGCAATGCGACTGCCAGATCAACAACGGTAATGGCTGGAAGTACGATTGGCAGCTTACATTCAATGTCTGCGCCGACAACTACGAAAAGACCGTAAGCTCAACTGTTCTCCACAACCTGATGGTATACTAATTTCGTTCGAAAGGCTGAATACGATAACGGTGCCGGCCGAGTAAGTGTTATATTAACGCCCTTTGAAGCATCTTCGACTAATTTCGATGTGACAGTGCATTGCCAACCCCCACGTCAGACTTGATGGCGACCGCTTCTACAATAACTGCAAGGACTTGGCTCAGAAGGGATGGTACCCCGTTGTGAATGGCGCTGTCGACACAACTCAGGCTAAGATCTATGCCAAGCAAGGAGGCTCTGGCTGCTATAACTAGGAGGATGTTGGGGTCGCTGGTAACTGAGCTTGATCTTCAAGATAGGGGTTTTTTGCCCGAGGGTTTTCCCCTACAATAGCCAGTCCTCTTCGTGTCTTCCGCATATAGATTATTGTCTTGAGTCTTTATAATTAAAACATTTCCTTTTGAGAACTCAAGTCCTCTAAAATATTCTGTGATTAGTTATCGGCAAATACCATATAGTAATCTGCTGAAATACAATAGGAAGTCCTACTGAAGTAACTCCACTATACTCCTTGCCCAGACCTCAGGCTTCAGCATGTAACCTAAATGGCCGCCAGAAATCTTCAGAACTTCCTTGTCTCCTTGTGTAGCGATGGCCTTCATTACACTCATAACTGGTCCATCGCCATTGTCCTCACCCACGGCGAGGATCAATTTTTCTTTCTCTTTGACAAGAGCTTCAATGTTAACTGGAGCACTGGTATACTGCCTTAGCCCAAATTCGAACCAAAAGAGGGAATTTGCACGGATCTCGTCGCCTCTTCTTGCATCCATGCAGGATTTCATCAAGCTCGTTTCAGGGCCCTCGGACAGGCCCGCAGAGAAGACCTCCATTGCTGTGCTGGGGCCATGAGTTCGATATGTGTCGTAGATGTGATTGATAAGCCCATGGGCCTGCAGCTGGAACTCCTTTGGAAGAACAGAGAAAGCCGGGGGCTCATGTGCAATGAGCCTTGTCACACACTCAGGATGACTGGCCAGGGTAACGATGGCGCCGGATGAGGTTCCGAACACGACGGCGGTCCCGTTGCCAGAAAGGTGTATGATCAGTCGTTGCGCATTGTCAGCATCGGTTTGTAGACGTTGTTGGAAAACTTGTTTGCCATCGAGAAAGCTTTGCGAGTATCCACGGCAGTCCTAGCATAGAACAGTAAATTGGGCGGCGAGAAATTGGGCGGAGGAGTGAAAGATGCTGCCCTGGCCGTCGGCACTGGATATAAGGAGGGGAAGGGAACCATCTGAGCCGAACGTCTCGTAGTGGAGAATGGCGCCGGGAACATTAAACCCACATAAACTAAGACTTCGGTCTGTGGAGCATCGGGGAGATAAGCAATGATTTCCATTGGCGGGAGTAATCTCCTTTTGATTACCCCCAGCCTCTCGTGATCTATGTCCGGCAATTGGCACGTAGAAGCAGCTAAGCCTACTTTGGTTTAGCGACGGCAAAAACCGCTCTTAGTTGAATCGTTAGACACCCTACACCCTAAACTCCATTGCCAGATATCAGTTAGAAACTCTACCAATTTCCGTTTTTAGCGCTGTTTGTCAACAAGGATAGGCATTGCCCGTTGCGTTTCTCAATATATTCAACTCAACTCTATAAGTATAGCAAGCCATCAAGTTGGGGTATCCAAAGGTCCCCACCAAGGTCTATGTCATCGAAAAGACCACTTTGTTCAAACAAACTCAAATGGCTGTCACCTTGATCCCCAAGAATGTCATCACGCCTTTCTGCTATTTTCAGTTAGTAGTTTCTCAGCGACATAGAATAAATACGCGCCGAGGACAGAAGTTAAAAATATAGAAACTTGCCATATTCTGGGCCCTTGTTTGCATTTTCAACTGTTTGGAGGAACTTGCACAGCTTTGCTCGAGTTTCTGAAACGCCTTCAGCACGCCACTGATGCGCATCGAGAATCTCAAAGGCCTTTGTAATGGACTCCTTATACGAGGGACAGGGATCTGCTAGATCTCTAGGCAGAGCAGATGATGCTATTAATACTGTTGCTGCCGAGAGGGTAACGTGCATCGCATGGATACTTATGACCTTTGAAGAAAACTGCAGGTTCTTGTGTAGGATCTCCAATACAGTTACCGCGCTTTGTATGCAGATGTGCCATGTTTCTTTGCGAAGTGCGTGTTCGAGACGTGACGGGGAAGTGCTTGGATTTTGATGTGCCAACACCTGCCGGGCTGCTGGAAGAAGATTTGTGCGCAGGACTAGTAATCTGACGTAGAGGAGCCTAGAAATTATAAGTTTGACTGCCTTGATAGAGTGCCACTATTGTGTACCACCTTAAATTCACTACCTCAGCCTGGAGGTGGAGAACCTTTTCCCTTGCGGAACTTGCTCGCTGTCCGTTCTTATACTTAAGATGCTCGGGGAGGTTGTTTTCGATCTCAGTAAGACGTTCGTTAAGTTGGAGTATCTTCATCAGTTCCGGCATCTGTAGTGCTGTCGAGAACGACGCAGCATTGACTTCACGAGCTCCAGCTACAACATCAAAAATCTTCATGGATACTGCCAAAGCATCCAACAATGAGGGCGTTGCAGCCGGCTGACAGCCCTCTCCTTCTTCAAGGAGATATTCGTCATCTATCATCTGGGGCAAGGGACATGTATTATCATGAACCAGTACAGTGTTCCACCCAAACAGCGAAGACATCAACCTGAGACGTTTAGTGGTGCTGGTGCGCTGCATACAGAACAAATACCTTTGCATTGTCAAGCATAAATGCCAAACTCGTCTCCCCATCTCGCGTTTCAATTGACTCGTTGTGTCATGATCAGCCCGATGCAAGTCTATCGTCTGCGCGACCTGTATCGCCATCGCCAACGTGTTGCAGTATCGGTGTGAGTATTTTGTGAAGCTTAAATAATTCCCTGTCAAGAGAAGGTACTGGACGACCTCGATACTTGGTTGATCGAGTGAATCAAGTGGAAGGATACTACGACTGCGTTCGTAAAAGGTTTCAGCTGTTGATAATATGAGAGTTGGTTCTGTCTTTGAGCTGTTGAGGCAGCCTAAAGCAAAAACGATATTTAAGCTTGCTGCAAAGGTAGTATCCAGACCCTGGTCATTAGATGGTGACTCCCAGACACGAAGGTATTTGGCCTTGAAGCTTGGCATGTGCAGCACAGGAAACATAGGATACACCAGTCTTTCATAACATTCAATAAAGTCATCTGCAACCTCTCTTGAGGGTAGGATGACTTGACTCATGTTAATACTGGCGAATGAAGTAGGACGGTCATTTGGATTGCCTGGCTGAGTTTGTATATCACTGCCTCCCGTAGGTCCAGTTTGAGTGACGGATGAGATAAACCGCAGTGTTGGATTATCCACGATCGACGACTGGGCATTACTAGGACGCGGTAGCGGAGAGGGAGTACCTGTAGCAACGTGGAATGAACCTGTAAAATTGCTTGGCAGACTCTCCAGCGCTTGTACCCGCGCTTCAAGATCTGCCATCTTAGACAGAATATCGCTGGATAGCACGACATTGGGTTCATTGTACTCGCAAGCCGTGTTCTTGGACTGACAAGATGAACACGTCGGGCGCCGGCCGTCGCACCGGGTCTTTTTTGACCGACAGAGCTTGCAAGACTCGGCAATGCGATGGCGCTTGCGGGGGCGAGGCTGATCCTGGGTTGATGATGACATTGTTCGCTGTTGAAGTTTGCTCGGAGCTATACGCGGGTGGCGGATGATTGATGACGGAGGAGCCTTGTCTGACCCTGTTGAGCCAAGTTCTTAGCGAGGGCGTGCTAGCCCCAACCTAGAACCTCCGGGTGATCCATCAGCAAATTCTGTCAGTCTCGGACCTTTCCCCGGTTCCTGATAAGATAAGCTCGTCAGACTGGACCGTTGAAATGAGAGTCCAGCCGGATTGAGCTAGCCGCTTCGGATCATTCCGCGAAAGTCCTAACCTGTAGACCATCAACTTGTATGGTATAAACATAATGAAAAGAGCCCAGCTTGCAGGTTATAAAAGCCTTGGTCCCTGGTTCCAGTATCTCTTCTATTTCATAACACATTTAATAACATTATTCATCTCATTACTACAATCTCCCACTACTCAAAATTGTCCAACATGTCTCATATTCCTCGTGTTGATACGCACCACCACATCATTCCGCCTCAGATTGCTGGTAAGCAAATCCCTGAACTTGATACTAGTAACATACTGATTCCTCTTTGCGATAGGAGTCGGAGCTGGTATGAAGGGCATGAAAGCTCCGTCCTGGAGCGTTGAAGCCGATAAAATCTTCAACAAAGAATGCAACATCGCTTCCGCTATTTACTCCGTCAGCACGCCTGGTGTTCTTCATATCTCTGATCCACAAGAAAGTGCCAAAGTCGCCCGAGAGATGAACGAGTACTGTGCTCGGCTTCGAGATGAAGACCCCACCGGTGCAAGTGGCTTTTTCGCTACTGTTCCTTCCCTTGAGCATACCGACCTAGTCCTTGAGGAACTGCGTTATGCATTCGATGTCCTGAAAGCAGATGGAGTCACTCTATTCACTAGTTATGCTACTCCTGAGGGCTATCTTGGACACCTTGAATATGTACCGATTTGGGAGGAACTTAATCGCCGCAAGACTATTGTCTTCGTTCACCCGGCAAACAACGCGGCTTCAGTCTACTTCGATGAACGATTGCCGATGCCAGCATTTGACTGGCCTCATGAGACAGGCCGCACAGCTATGGACCTGATTCTAAACAGACGCCTTCAGCAATTCCCAGACGTCAAGATCATCCTCTCGCACGGCGGTGGTACGCTTGCCGCACTTGTCCGCCGAGCGACTATCATAGAGCTTCCTGAGTTTGGAGGCGTCATGAGTGCTGATGATATCATGAGCCAAGCGCAGCAATTCTACTTTGACACTGCGCTGACTGGTGGCCCAGAGATGTTTCCTCTGATCTACAACTTCGCTAAGCCGGGCCATTTGCTGTTCGGCAGTGATTTCCCTCATGCTACAGTAGGTGTCAGCAAGGACTTTACTAAGTTTGTCGATGAATTTGAGATGGATGAGGAGAAGAAAAGGGAGATCTATTATGGCGCCGCTCTCAAGCTCTTCCCTCGCCTAGTTGGCAAGTTTGAGATTTAAGGCTGCTATTACTGCTGTGTATACAACTTTCGCTACTAAATCATCTTTTTCTATACTACAAATGGCCAAAAACGAAAGAATTGGGTAAAGGAACAGGACAGTAACTAAGCGTGTAAGAAGGCTGGCAGTAACTCATTACTATACATATTCCTATGGCCTTTTCTTAAGACTTGAACCTTTTAAAAGGACAGGTACTTAAATCCTGACTTTGCAAACCGCTTATCGTTGCAGCCATTGAATCCATGCCTTTACCCTCCTGTGGCTGTGGACCGATTGTCATCAAGTCATATCCTTGAGGCTTGAATTTGCCCAACACTGATTCTGGAAGTTTTCCTCCTAGTACCCGAATCATTTGAGCACGGGGCCCATGGGTTGTCCACCAGTTAGATCTGGTGTACCATGGCTCTGCACTGAAATGTGTAAGGTTATAGAGCCCAGTTTCTGGATTCGGTGTCTCGGCAAGAGATTTGGAAGCCAGGAAGGCTGGTCTGGGTAGACTCAAATAGCGCAGAGCCAGGCGCCGCAACGTTTTGAACCATGATAGAACGAAAGTAAGGACAGGCCCGGCGGATTCAATCCTGATAGTAGAACACATAAGTCAGTCGAGCTTTCAGACTTAAAATGTCGCATGCTTTCACTCACCCAAGACTCTCCCTCATGACACTGTCGAGCTCAGACCCGATAGTCTTCCTCAACAGCATTCGCATTCTTGTGGTAAGCCTTGGAAATATGCCATCAACATATACTCTCACATATCTGTCATTCGCTTCAGTTGGAAGTGCCACATTTGCTTCGTAACGTAGGGTCCAATCACGAAGCTCAGTGGCAAAGTGTATTCCATCTCTCCAACCCGCTGAGCTTGATGGAAGAAAGTTGAAAGGGATCTCCATATCTTGGCCAAGAGCCATGTGGACTACCCCCACAGCACACTTTTCAACTTCTGACAGAGGACGCCACTCCTCGCTTTCGAAGATACGGAATATTTCGACAATGCTCGATCCTAGTGTATGTAGTAGATCTTCATCTAGGATCTTACCAGCCTGGCGATAACGGGAGTGTAGATAATTCATGCGAGCAATAGCGGTTTGGTATCGGGATGATAATCGGCTGTTGTGCTGAACTTCACGTATCAGGATCTCAGTATCGACAGCACGCTTTCCGCCGTTTCTTGCGTTATTCTGTCCCGTAACAGCAAACAGCTTGGACATCGTTGGGATACCGCCAGCCTACAAGTTTTGGTTAGCTGAGGGATGATATTTATACAGATCTCACTTGTGCAGATGGCAGGGCTAGCGTACTTTCAGAAGGGATATGGTTCGAGCTTTTCTAAAAGCGTAAGGGAATTCGAGCTCCTGCAGCTGCATCATGATGTTATGCGCCTCTGGCACAGTCATGGATGACAGTGGCCTGTCCTTCTCCAGAGCAGCCAAAATCTGATCTCTACGGCGGAACCGCAGGTACCTGACTGCCGCTACATATGTAGTAAGAAGGAGGATATACATCAACATACTCATAAAGGATCTACAACTTGGAACGGGGTGTCTTAATGCAGTTGTACTAATTGAGGAAGACAATAAATAGTTCCGCAAGAGAGGAAGTTCAAAAATGCTTGTTTAGTTTATATGGGATGACTTTTAATTATAAATACTTCTGCGTTGTATGTAAAGCAGTAGAGTAAGAGTGTAAGACACAGGGTCTTAGCACCAGCCTCGCAAACTAAACTGGAAGCGTTTATACCTTATTAACAGTTACAGACATATAGCTCTAAACTAATATTATCACAACCAAGTCCTACCTATCAGTCCTATTGACTTTACTCAGCCTAGGCATGATTTATTCAAACAACCCTATCCATCGTTAGAGTATTGCTTCTTGTAGCTCGTTTTGCAGAGCCATGGAAAATAAGACCGTCTTTTCTTGATCTTATTGAATTTTCTAACTTAGATGTCATTTCTAAACTGTGCGTAGATCATCTTGTGCAGTGAACAACCGGAGACCCCTGTTCGCAGCATTGCGACATGGCAACGCTAACTGAATGCTTGAGTCTGTTGAGTGGATACTGGACGTGCCCCACTTACTGCCTCGGCCTTTACATGGTATCTTATAGGCTTAACCATACGGTCAACAATCAGCTACGTAGTTGTTATATGGACTTCGGACTTTGATCAGTCCGTATCAGGAGATATCGTCACCCCGTCAATACCGTGATGACGTGGCCGCTGGGAAACAATCTCAACTGCCGAACCCGTAGACCTTTGATGTTCCTCGGTGTTATTCACAGTAAACCTCATGGCTGAGAGCTTAGATCAGCACAGATAACTTAGTTCCTCAGCTCCCCACATTATCCCCGCAGCTACTGGTAGCCTGTGGCACACAAGAGATCCCCAGAAAACAATAAATTCAAGGGCCAGTCCTTCTTGAAAGACATCACAGCTTTGCACCAACTACCCAAGTTGACGATACATCATGGAGAGCATGCCTGAGGCCCCCAATTCCACTATCATCAACCGAGAGACCGGGGCAGCGAAACGTCTGGGCCAAAAGGCGCCAGTAACTCCCCATCTACAGAAGCTTATCGATGAAACACTCTTAAACGGTTATGTTATAATCCCCAACGCTTTTACCAACGACGAGGTCGAGCAAGCGAACACGGAGCTTCGACGTCTTGCATCTAGTCCGGAGGCCGGCCCCGCTGTGTCTGGAGGCCGCAACAGGTTTGAAGGGCTGAGAACGAATCGTATTTACGCTCTGCTCAATAAATCCAGAGTCTTTGACAAATTTGTACTCCATCCTGATATTCTAGGCCTCAATGAGTATTTTCTGGACCAAGGCTTTCTTCTGAATGCATTCCATAGCATTAATATTCAACCGGGAGAAGCCCCGCAAACAATTCATCACGATGACGGCTTTATCACGATACCACGTCCACATCGCCCCTTTGGAACTGTAGGTACTTTGCACCATTCGGCTTTACAGTAACTGACTCGAATAGGCGATTATGGTTGCACTAGATCCTTATACAGAAACGAATGGCGCCACGGTCGTTGTTCCCAAGTCGCACACTTGGGACTCGAGTCGCGTCCCGACGCCTGATGAAGCGAAGCCTGTTATCATGGAAAAAGGAAGCGTTGTTTACTTTCTTGGTACGCTATGGCATGGAGGGGGCAAGAACGTGTCCGATAAAGAGCGGAGAGCACTCACGGTTCAATATTGCCAGCCATGGGTCCGTCCCTTGGAGAATCAGATCCTGGCGGTGGATTGGGAGAAGCTCAACGATATCCCGCCTCGACTGGTCGACATGCTTGGATATCAGGTCGGGGCTCCTTTTGTGGGCTACGTAGATGGGATCAGCCCTAGAAGGGCCGTCGAACGGAAGATGAGGGCAAAGCAAGCGTTGGATAGGCACAGCACTAAGCTTTGAACCAGATGCAGAAGCGGGGTTTCACACTCTTATGAGTTTGGAGGATAGTTCTCATGGTCTCTGTAATGGCTCTCAAGATTGGAATTTGCTAGGCCTCTTGACTTAAATATACCGTCTAGTCCTCATCCACGAAGACCTCCTGCGCTCTATGGATGATGCTGTCTGCTTCATTTCTCTAGACATTTCGACCCCAGCCATAAAAAAGCCTATTAGCGCCGGTAACGCTAGGCGTGCTTAGAGTCAAGTCGACACCGCTGCCATGGAACTTCTGGATAGAGTACCAGTCATCAGTTTGGCCTGCGGTGACTTTGCCACCAACTGCCGGCCAATAGGTCGAGCCAATCTTGAGCTCGCGCATGGAATCGGTCAAGGCGCGAATATATCGAACAAAGTTATTCGTGCTGTTGGCGTCGCTATAATTGAGACCAGTGTCCATTGGCGCACCGAACTCGGTTGTGACTGCGCGAGAAGCGCAATTACCCAGGCCGCTTTTGTAGGCCTGAACCCAGCCGTTGTAATCTTTCGCGCCGGTGAAAAAGGTGTAGACATGGTAAGACAGCAAGGTCCCATCCAAACGGCTGTCGTCACAGACGGGCTGAAGATTCTGGCAATAACCCGTGCCGCCTATGAGGATTCGCCCCTTGGGCAGCGATGAGTGTCTGGCGACCCAATTGGCAGCTACGTTGGTCCACTGAGCGGCGGTATAGCCGTGCGGTTCGTTCATGGGTTCGAAGTAGATGAGGCTATTGCTGTTGTACTGACCTACCACAGCATCCCACATAGTGTTCCAGGCGTTCAAGTCGACGATCTTGCCTCCCGAAGCTGCGCCGTCTTCCCAGTAACCCAAGATCACCTTGAGGTTGTGGTCAGTGGCGGAGTCGATCACTCCAGTGTAGGCATCCCACCAGGTAGAATTGACCGTGATTGTGTTGACTGGCAATCGGATGGCGTTAATGCCGAGATTGTCCTTGAGACCGGTGTAGATAGCGTCGGCCTTGGCTCGGACGGTATCATAGTCATCGGACTTGTCCAGGCCGCGGAGGACCAGTGGACCTTTCACGAAGTTGTCTCCAAGAACAGCCCAATTGACCCCCTGAAAATTGCTGGTGTCGGCACTGACCAATAGTCCGCCGGCCAACGCGGCCAGAAAAACAGTCTTTAGGATACTCGGCATGGTATTGATTTTATGTCGGCTGTATATGAAGTTGCTAGGGTGGATTGTTGTTTCAAGTTACTTGTGGAATGAGTTCTCCTGTAGAGTTATCGAGTCGTTATTATAGATTTCCCTGACTTATATACAACGAGTTGAACCCTCAAAGGAGGGGCTCAGCATCGGGTGTCTGGACGTCGATACTCTAGCGCCGGACAGATATTGAATGAATAACCCGATAGATAGGCCGTTGTTGTGAATAGGAATCTCCCGAATGATGGTAGTCTGATCTGAGCCCCTACCTTGGGCACTCTATACAGTATGCTGTGTGGAGGCACTGCTTCCGAGTTGGGTTCGGTTCTAGTCGAACCGAGTGTAGTTCTTTGGAGCGGAGGCGAACTAACTGCTAATTGGCGCCACGCTTGGGGGACCAGGGTCCTTTACCCCAGAATCTCCCAAAATGTGGTCACGGGCCCAGTTATCCTCGTTTATGCGGGGAAATGGTCCCGAAATTACGAAATTAGTCTAGAGAAGCGCGGGGAATCAGGAGAAGATTGCTCATATTGCATCGGGGGAGACTTCGACCGATGCTGGCCATGTGGATTGTTCGATTTCCCGGACCTATCAAAATCAATCTCCCTTTTTTGGCAGCAGCATTCATTAGCCCGGTAGCTACTAAGCCAGTCGCTCAAACCACGTAATGTTGAGTGTACGTCGACCCAGTGTTGTACTACACCAGTGTGTCGCCATTGCCGGCGTTCTATGGCGTAATGAGTCGCCGTAACGGGAAGCCCTTTCGCTGCCTACTTGCAGTATGGACGCTTTCATCTCTTACCTCGCTCGAGGACGAGGAGCAGTTGACCGCATTGGAGACGACCGCCAGCACATGCCTCCATATCTGGTCGTAGCTATCGCTCAGCGACGTGTGGCGTCGGTTCGCCTTGAGCTCTGCCAATAACGTCGCCGCGCAGATATGCTCTCGTGTCCGCCCGCGCAAGGTGGCAACGCGATTTGCCGCACTCATATATGTCAAGTTTTGTTATTCCATTATTTATTTACCTAGGAAGGGTACTTTATTCAAACTTCAAAATAATGTTAACAATACCAAGTTTATTTTCAAATACCTAAAATACAAGCTTTGCCTAGAACGAACCATCTAAAGACTCGTCTGGTATGAGATTCGCAAATGGCATCCATAGAGCAGAAAACAACCCCACAGATGCAACTTCATAGCCCATAGAGGCAGAGTTATCGATCCATTCTGATGTCTCAATCCCTTGGGGTTCTCGCGGGCATTCACTCGCGGATGCGGAACCTTGCGAAACTATTTCATCGTTTCGAAGTGACTTCTCCACCATGATCCTCGCGCGGTCAAATAGCTTGTACGCTGCATCTGCCGACACGTAGTACTTTCGCATCTCATCCAGAGCTAGCAAGCACAGGGCTAGGTTGTGCTTTGCCAGTTTGCCAGACGACGACTTGGATGATGCCATTTCCAGTAGATGGATTTGAATCGGTGGACTGATAGTGAGCACCCTGGGTAATTAATAGTAGATTAGCGGCGTTCTCATATTCCATAGCTTCAAGGACATACGCAATCGTTTGGGCGAACTTGATCAGATCTTCTGCCATCATACAATTAATGGCATGGGTCGCATGAGCGGCTGCAGTCCGAAGCTTGCTTTTTACAACCGCTTTCCAAGAGTCCTGTTCATTGTCTGGAACCCCGTCTGGTGTCTCGTGGAGAAATGGCCTGTACAGAGCTATGATAACTGCCCTGCGAGATCTGTTTAGCCAATGACTGATTATGACGCTAGAGGCCTTACTGAGTGTGAAGCCGGTATTGATATATATGAGAAGCCAGTACTGGACTCTGATCATTGTTCTCGTCATGGACCCAGTGGGCTCGAATATCATTCTCGTCTCTTTCAATGATAGCTCTGGAAGGCCTTGCGCCTTTGATGGTATAGTTAGTTGATAATATCCTCCCCATGACGTGAGTCACTCCTATCAGCTTTAGCCATATCCCAAGAAGTGTACCGAGATCCTCAGGTACAAATTGTTGGTACTCAGGCGAACTGGTAGGACTCGTATCGTATGGTCCCGGCATCGGAGTTGAGCAATGATCAAGAGATATTCGCATTGGCCGACCTTGGCCCATTGAAAGCCAGACCTCACGGTAGTAGATACACCACCAGATACGGCGCCACAAAGGCCTAATACCGTTTCGTGAGGGAGATGTCAGCATGTGAAGACCGATCGTATGAGATAGGCTGATAGCGATGCCGTTCCAGTGCCAGGGACCCAGGCGATCTTCAGCATCTGCATAGAAATGCCCCATAAGAAATACTGATTGAATTAATGTAATTTTGTTCTTCTCATAGTCTGCATCGTACAATGTCTGTAGGCCATGTCAGTCAGTTAAGCTTATCGGGCACCGCGAGAGTATACCTTTGCTCGCTGAAAGGCATTACGTTTGAACGTAAGAGGAGATTGGAAGAGGTTCATCAAAAACAGACCCTCCTCAACAAACTGACAAGTCAGCGTGTATGTCTACCGCCGGGGTAATAGGTAACTTACAGTCGCAGCACACATAAAGACTGACCACAGAAGTAGTAAACTGAGTTGGCCTTTACTATAGGCATTGAAGAATTCTTGAGGATCAAGGACCGGTTCGAAAGAATGACAATGATGAAAATAAGCTTTGATGAGAGCTTCTTGGAGTGGTTGGGGAGGCAAGGTAAAGCAACCTCTCCATCGGAGAAACTCGATTTCCTCTGGTTGGAGGGACTCTAACGAAGGCATGGCAACAAACGAATGATTGCTGTCTGTTAATCTTTGGGGTTTGCAAATATCTATCACAAAAGCCGGTCCTCTTTTATCACCTAGGATTTGTCAACATTAGAGGCTATCAGGCTTGATAGATGGACTTTATATGCGTACCTGGGTAGAAAGGCACTCGATTACCATCACTCTCATGCTCTTCAAGAGTCTCGGCCCATGCAGATGTGGCATTTGCAATTGGTGGGGTTTCAACTTCATCGTGGGCCTCACTTTGTATTGTTTCGTCAACTTCTGCGCCGAGTGCTACAGTTATCTCGCCTTCATCGGTGTCCTGGTCGACAACTATAGTGTCCCGGTTAGAAGTAGCAGATGAAGCATTGTGGACTTGCTGCGAGTGTTCCGGGGATAAATCAGTGGGCCCATCAGTCATCGAACCCCAACGAGATGGGTTGCTCTCTCTCGCTGGGCCGGAAGTATCCCAGTGGGGGCTCTCGCTCTGCGAATTGCAGAGCTGTGTTGCCGAAGGAGTGTGTCCCGAGGACATGGAAGTATCTTGCCTTGCCGGATCAGACATTGTAGGCAGGATATCGGTATTTCTGTGCAAGTCAGCTATGTATACCGCCTGATCTGGAGATGAGGTGACCTGACCGTCGCCGCTTGCGGGTCTTGATCTCGCAGGGAATGTTGTCCACAGCGCAGTTGGCACAAGGGGGCCCAAACAATGTGATAGTGCACCTGACCTTACGACTATTGCAGGCTTTGCAAGCTACATGTGCCCGCTTATGGGGCCTGTCACTATTTGGCGGCATCGCAGAAGTCATCTACTATCCAGACTCTCCAAAGGTGAATGACAGCGGAGACCCGAACAGCGTTTAAAAATAGCCGAGGTAGTCGCCCTAATAAGCGGTTACTAGAGCTTAACGGATATCTTTATAAACAGCATAATGGCTTAACAGACCGAAGAACGGCCAATTAACATATAGAGAAGCAACTCCGCAATATCAACGAGGACACCGATTCAAGGTAAAACTGCAGAGTTAAAGTCTCCAACAAGACTGTACAAACCAAACATACACTCTTTATCGAGAAGGCTCGAATGCCTGTTTCAACATGTTTGGCGGCCTAATTTCGGCAGGTTTAACTCTTTAAGGTGACTTCACAAGCAATGAAGTAGTGAAGACTCGACATAGGACCGAGGTCTGCCATAACTTGAAGATTGCTCGTGAATACCGCCACTGTGATATTTCGGCTGTAACATTGAAATGTAAAGAATTGCGGAGTCGGTTTATCTAGGTTGCTGGGTGCAGAACTATCCTCGGCGGAGTGACCCATCGTCTCTCGGCACAATGTGGGGCAGGGCTTCTGTTCCTCGGGCACTTCTAGCATACGATGAGCCATGTGTATCACGGCAGAAACGAAGACCAACAGTGTTATAGCAGCGTATTTTCAGGTTGAAAGTATTTACTTATAAAGACCCATCAGGTCGACTCACTACTAAGAAATAGACCATTTTCAACATTGATTGACAGTGCAACATCCCAATCACATATTTCAACCATTTTCAGCATGGTAGCAACTATTGAAGTCCCAGCTTCCTACTCATCACTGCCCTTCAAGGATATCATTATTTCTCATGTACCAGAAGACTCGCCTGTCGCTACCAAGGTTCTTATCTTAGCCTTCAACCGTCCTGATAAACATAATGCTGTTACTGAGAATCTTCTCAATGAGCTTGAGAAGGCCTACCGACTTATTGATCAAGACGAGCGAGTTCGGGCTGTTGTTCTGACTGGTACAGGGAAGGCCTTCTGTGCGGGAGCGGATCTCCAGATTGGCTTTTCCGGGCTGATGACTCACCAAGCGAGTCAAGAGTCCATCGATAGATATAGGGACCAGTATGTGACCGCTCAATAATGGAACTGCACGAACGCTAATAAGATCTTGTAGGGGAGGCAAAGTTGCTCTTGCAATGGCAAGCTGCACTAAACCCACTATTGTCGCCATCAACGGCCCTGCAGCCGGCTTCGGGTTCACTATAACCTTCCCTGCCACCATCCGCGTAGCCTGGGCTGGAGCAAAAGTCGCTCTACCTTTCGCACGTCTCGGCTTGAGCCTCGAGTCTTGCAGTGCCTATTTTCTTCCACGCTTGATCGGACTTGCCAAGGCGATGCATATTGCCACCACTGGCGATACCTACCTTGCTTCAGATCCAATCGTTAGCCCTTTATTCTCGAAGCTCCTTTCGACTCCACAAGAAACTTTACTTCACGCTGTGGAGCTTGCATCCCGTGTCGCAGAAAGTACCTCACTTATTAGCACTAAGCTTATGAGGGACATGCTGCTGTATAACTCGGAGACTCCGGAAGAAATGCATAAGTTGGACTCAAAGGTTTTCATCTCGCTTGTTGGGTCTAAGGACAATATGGCCGGTATTCAAGGTGTTACGAAGAAACAACGTCCAGACTTCAGTGGGACCTTCGATCGAAAGGCTGTGCCCTTTTGGCCTTGGTGGGACGCGGACAACAGCGGGGTTTCAAGTTCAAAGCTGTAAGTGGTTCGCCAGAGTATCCGAGATGGAATCATAGCTGCTATTCTGTCCTATTAGGTACTTTATAACATAGAAGAGTGGTTGGTCAAATCGTTCGTTAAAATGAGGTTATTTCTTCCGCACCAAAATAAAAATGGACAAACACTTTATCGCCTCGTTAACCCTAAATATTACATGCCAGCGACAAGACCGCGGCATCATGTGGGGCCTTGAGTAGACTCCTGGTCTTCGGCCCCGTCACGTCAAACTCCAGCCGAATGTGCCTCAACAAAACACTCAACAAATGTTGCAGAGTTTTCTCTTTTGTGACCTTGAAGGTCTATTTATTCTTGGTAAAGAGAGCCTGAATAGATATTAACGTTGAAAATTGTGTGACATCGACGGTTTATCAATCTCTTACATCTGTGACTGCATACTATCGCTTTCTTTTATGACCATGGCCGATACAGTGTCTAGTTCTTCAAGCTTCGTCTTTCTACCAATGGCGTCAATTTTCAGTTGGAGAACTCTGGTGTTGGCTTTCCTGTTAACCAATCTCAAGTCCCTACATTTCATGTGGTTTGTAAGCTACGCAAATATTTTCAAAACTATCAATCATTCACATACTAACAGCTTACATAGGCTCGGTTCCTTCGCGCTTTCGTTCGCCGACTTACCGACTCAGCTCCTGAGAAACATCTTTCCCCTCGATGTATCTTCCTCCCTGCAATCAGCGCCACGCGGTCTCCAGCATTAGAATGCGATTACAATCTCCACAAGTCAAACTCAACATATTTCACAGATATGGACATGTCTCGTGGAAACTTTAGCCTCCTTCTCTTCGGAAGGGCTTTCAATCCGATGCCGGGGCCGACACATTTCACTATGATTCTGGGCGGGACAACGTGTACATGGCGCAAGGAGATCAAACCATATGCCCGATACGAGCTGTGGACCCGGGTGCTTTCGTGGGATGAGAAATGGTTGTACATTGTGACTCATTTCGTCAAACCCGGTGTTTTCTGCCCAACTGAGTTTGTGCTACAACCTAGCAAGAGGCCCAAGACAGTCAAGAAACATGAGAAGCAGGAAGACAACATACTCAAATCAGTTTATGCATCGTCTGTGGCTCGCTACGTCTTCAAGAACAATAGACGCACCATCCCACCAGAGGAGGCACTCCGAAAATGCAACCTACTCCCTGATGATGAGACAAGCTTGGCGGATATTGAGAATACGAGGGCGAGTAATCTTGCCATTGGAAGGCTCGAGGCAGGCTGGGAAGCAGTTCATAATTGCCTTGAACCAACAGGACCCGCTTTAGGGTGGTATCATAGCGCATGGTAAAGCAGTAAGATACTATCTATATACTATGCCTGGTATTAACTAGTAATTTTAGCAATTGCTAATGTAGTTTCCCTCAATAAAAATGTTGACAGATTGGAGCAAGTCCAAGGGCCCCACTATATGTACTGAGACGACAAGACGCCACAATTGCTCGCGCTAAGAAAGCGGCAAGTTGAACTCTTTTACCGATACTAAAAATTTACCTATTCCCTCCATTTAATATCTGCCACTTACTCCCTTAATTCTTTTATCTCAGTCTAGCCCCTATTTATTTTCATCGCCCCCTCTTATCCGAACTAGTTACAACATGCCGCCCTCTACTGCTCGCAGCAATACACGCCGATATCGTTCCGATCCCTCCAATTTACCCCGGCAGAAATCCATCGCGTGGGTTGCAAGTAACTACAAGGACCTCAGACGCTGTGCTAATTCGCTCTTGTCTTCCATCTAGGTGTCGTAACTGCCATGCTCGGAAGATAAAATGCTCCGGGAACAAACCATGCAACAATTGTTCTTTGGCATCTGAATGCGTGTATCCAATGCGAGATCGGCAGATCAGGGTAAACCAAAGGTATTATCCTTCCCATCGCTGCCTCGCCCTAGATTTGTCCTTATTCGTGATTTTATGTGGTATTTCAATTTGTTAGAGAATAAGTCTGGTTGTCATGAAACTCACATGGCATAGTTTCCTTGATCGCCTCCTTCAAGAGAATGAGGAATTACGTGCCCAGATCCATCCTGAGTCGCCACAACCCGGAAATCCAGGTGGACCCTCGCAACCTGCTCCAACATCTAGCAACCATCAGCATGTTACTGAGGAGAAGATACTGGAGGAAATAGACTGGTTCGCCCAAACGAGATCATCAGATACGCCCATCTGGATAGGCGAGATCTCCGATGCAGCGTTTGCGACTCGGTTCCGACAATTTGCCTTGTCCTCCCAAACACCAAGTCACATCCCACGCACACAGTTCGCATCCGACGACGACCTACGCCTACTGGTCTCTACAAATCCAGCCTGGCCGACACCGCCGCGCGCCAGGCTTTTCGTTCGGACAGCGCTTAAATTTCTCCGGCACAGCTATCATGTAGTGAGGCGCAGCGAGGTGCTCTCCGTGCTGGACACGTTCTGTTCAGACCCGGGCAACGCTACCCTTGGCCCCGTTGCGAAAGCCAAGATGTGGGCTTTGTTTGCACTTGGTGAGCTGCGTTCAAGTAAATGCCTAAGTTCTAGCAAAAGACTTCCTGGGATGGCGTACTTTGCAATCGCTAGCGATACGGTTCGTCTGATCAACGAAAGGCCACAGCTTGATGTGATCGAAACGACCTTGATCCTAGTAGGTTCTCTTATGAATCATGCTCCTTCATACTGACGGATACTCCAGACTTTGTATTCTCTCGAAGCAAACCGCCGACACTCTGCGTGTACACTTATCGGCTCAGCCTTGCGCCTCTCGACCGTGATGGGCCTCCATCTCAGCATTGGCGACACCTATCTTGCAGATCCTGAGCTAAGGGAGCATCGCATCCGGGTCTGGTGGTCAGTCTATATCCTCGATCGTCTATTATCCTCCAAGATTGGTCTTCCGCTATTGATATCGGACGAGGATATCTCGGTCAATCTACCCTCCAATGGCCCTTCTCTCACCTTGGAAGACTTCGGCGATCATTCTCACTTTTTGGTTATTGTACGACTTGCCAAGATCGCCGGGAACATCTCTAGATCTCTCTATGTCAGGACACCTCAGCGCGGTACATTTCTTCAAAGGGTTGCAAGAATTCGAGAGGAGCTTGACCACTGGAAGGCGGAACTACCAGATCAAACAAAGGTTGCCTTCAGTCGCACAGACGAGACTGAGGATCACTCTCAGTCTGCTATCTCTAGATTGAAGGTGTCATTTAATCAGGTATGGCGTTCATGAATTACTCTGTCTCAAATTAATGGCATTCATTACATATCCTTGCCTGTATATTCGAGTCATACTAAGTTTACTGACTCTTCTAGTTATTCATCTTGGCAACGAGGCCTGTACTACTCTTCTGCTTTCGTCGACATGTGGGTGAGGCTGTGGCAGCGTCGAGAGGAAACCCTCTTCCAGATGCAGCGCGCGAAGCTGCAGATGCGTGCGTCAGCACTGCTCGACAATCCTGCCAGCTGTTGTTGCGGTCCTGGGTAAATGGTGAATTCCACACCTTCGATTATTCTTACGTGCAACACCTTTTCTCTGCTGCGGTTATCCTCGCGATAGCGAGCACACTCGGTCAAGATACTTCGAAGAATGACAAAGAAGAGTTCGACATTGTTGCAGGCTTTCTACAGCAACTAGAAGAGAATGGAAATCCTGCAGCTATGGAGTTCTATGCTCACATCAAGGAGATACAGATAGTCCTGGAAGCATGGGGTTCTACACCGTGTCAACCAAATGACTTGCCGACATCGGGAGACCTTGGCTCATTAGAAGTCTTCCAGTCCGCAATGACCAATCAATCATTGGAAGTCCCTGCTTTACATAACACAGAACATGGTCCTCAGGCAGCTGATGGCTCACCTCTGAACCTTTCATTTCTCGATGACTGGATCTACGACAATGCATTTCAACAGATATGCTGGCAGGAATAGTGTAGGACTGATTAATGGAGTTTGTTGTAATGCTAGACTATCCTGTTGATAAGTGACCTTGTTGAAGAATCTTTCATATCTATTCCTTACGCTGTAGAGTGTGATAACCAAGCTTCTCTCTCGCTTCAGCAATAGTAGATCCCTTGGATATCATTTCTCTGATACCTTGCTCACTCTCCTCGATACGACTCGCAATTGCAGCCACCTCGCGAGCTCTGTCTCGCGGCACGATCACAACCCCGTTTGCATCCGCTACAACAATGTCTCGCGGGCTGACACGTACTTTACCGACGCCAATCGACTCATTGACACCTTCGACCTGAACACGATCCTTGCCCGTCCGCATCCAGCGCCCAGAGGAGAAAATTGGGTAATTGTCGCCGATAGCACGGTCAACATCACGGCATACACCATTGATGACTGTCCCCGCAACGCCACGCAGGCCGGCATACTGCGTCATTATATCTCCCCAAACAGTGCAGTCTGTACGGCCACCGTTATCAATCACAACGATATCGCCTATGGCCACGTCGTCGATGAAATCACCAACGCTTCCGGGAGGGTCACTGGCGGGTCCGTAACGAACTGTGAAAGCCGGGCCGACTGTCGTCTTGCTGTAATTCGTCAAGGGCATGATGTCGAATGCCTGTCCTGGAATACCAAGCTTGTCGAGGGCATCTGAGACTCCTGGGGTGTCAGAATTGGCGAATAGACGAACCAGTTCTTGGTCTTCGGGAGTAGTTTTCTTGGGGTTTTGGGGATTGTGAGGCCTGCTGGGAGCAGTCGAAGATCCAATGGCTTCGAATTGCGTGTCATGCATGACTTCTGCCACAGAGAGACCGCTTCGCACTTCTTGAACCATTCCATTCTGGCGACGGTCGATGCGCTCGCCCAGTTCCAGGACATCTTCGATACGATCGGCTGGTACAAAAACCACACCGCAGTTATCTGCAATCACATAGTCGTTCTCGTCCACCTTGACCCCGCGTATCTCAACCTGCACGCCAGAATCGATTTGAATCAATCTGTTGCGAGCGCTGATCATCGTTACACCACGACCAAAGACAGGATAGCCAATGTCCCGACTTCCATCAATGTCACGACTCATGCCATCTATAACAGATCCACGGATTTGTTTGACCTTTGCGGCGTTGGCGATGATGTCACCCCAGGAGGAGATGCCTTCTACACCACCAGCGATGACAAGGATGCGATCGGTTGTTGCTACAGCATCTATCACCGGTGTGATTAGATGCGTCGTAGCTTGCGCATTCTCTTTCTTGGGTCCAAGTTGGACAGTGCTGGCGCGGCCGACGATTTTGGGACAGTCCCAGAGAGGTCGAAGGCCATGCGTAGCTCCAGGGAGACCAAGAAAATCCAAGGCGTCAGATACTGTATTGGTATCCAGCGCTGAAAGCCGATCAAGTGTAGTGTCAGACATTTTGATGCACTGGAACAGTTATCGTATAAAAGATGGAAAAGAAGTCTAGTTTGGTGTATTTTGGAAGACAATGCTTGGATCCAGCATGGCCTCCGTGGCCATCTAAACTATATACTCCAAGAGACTCCATCAATCTACTGGTAGAATATTGATGCTAATACCGCCCCCACAAGCATCACGTCCTAAGGGCCAAAAGCGAAGACGCCGATTGGATCGGCGTTCCGTCGTCTCCCCGACCTTGAGCTCCACCATCAAAGTCAAACCAAAGATGCCTATTGGCTCGGTGTTTTGTTCTTTCGCCAGGAACAGTCCCACTATGGACCCAGGCAATGCTCAGTGACGAGCTACGGTGCGGTGTAAGCCATTAAGTGTGCAATCAAGCAGAACAAGGCTTTTTCAATCCAAGTTGGAATGGTCGTTGTGACTAATACGCGATTTTTGCCGCATAGTATTACTAGAAGAAATACACCGTTATGCTTAAACTCATAACAGTCTATACGTGTCTTAATTTTAAATCAATTTCATTAATACAGATTCGAGCATTAACAGTATCAAGCAAGTCGGTATAAAAAGTAAGGATAAAGAGCATCTCTAATAGTTATAAGGTAGTTATAATTGTAATCCATTGAAGCCAAAGTACATCTTAATAAATAATTGCACAATTTCAGTAGCTATGACTAAGCCTGCTTTCTTATCTGAGCATAATGGTCTAGGACTGTCACTGCTAGTTCGTGCCTAAGACAGAAAGGAAGCCTTGTGCAACAAAATTTATATTGCTGCTTGTCACTATTAAAACTCATTAGTCTACTTATCTTAGACCAGGAGATTGGACGTAGTGCTTACATCCAGTTATGGACAACCTGCCAGATGGAAGCAGGTAAATATGATGCTTCGTCTTGAGCTCATAGACCTGATCGCGGGTAAGTCCTGCCATAGAAAACATGCCGATCTGTAAGCTTTGTTAGTTGATACACACGGGATAGCTGGGACAGGTGTTCCCACGTCTGTAAGTAAGTGCTCCCATGATCCCCTTACTGATCTACGTTGTAGCTCCTGATACAACGCCTTTCGCATACCCTTCATCCGCTCACTCATCGTGACCAAGTCTTGTTGCCATTGGTCAAAGAGAGCCGGGCTACTCAAAATCTTGGCTACAATCCTTGCACCATACGAAGGACAAGATGTTATCTCAGCGCGCGAAAGCTGCGTCAGGAGAGGGGTAACCCTGGCCGCCGTCTCGGTCTCGAGTACAACCATGTGAAGAGCTCCTACGCGTTCTCCATATAAGCCGAAGTTCTTCGAGAAGGACTGCGCCACTGCGAATTCTAGGTCGGATCTATCATAGAAGTGAGTTATTGCAGAGGCGTCCTGATCCAGGTCTCCAGATGCAAAGCCCTGGCTGCAAGGGGGTTAGATGCAGAACATTCTTTGATGGGGATGTGTGCAACTTACTAAGCCATGTCGAAGACCGCGAATAAACCAGAATCCTTGCAAATATCAGCAACAGTCTCCCACTGCTGTCGGGTGAGATCTGCTCCAGTGGGATTGTGAGCGCATGCGTGTAGGATAATGACGTCTCCATCACAAGCCTCCTTGCGCAAGGTCTGTGTCATTGCTTCAAAGTCCACTTGGTGATGTGTTGCATCATAATAAGGATAGAACCGTTGTTCAATGTCTGGGCCAACAAGCTTCCAAATTTCTGTGTGATTAATCCAGCTTGGGTTCGAGATCCAGACTCTCTTTGGTTTGAGGCTGGCAGCGAGGAACAGAGCAGCCATGTGGTTGGCTCCTGTACCAGAAACTGTCTGAACTGAAGCTACACGCTTTAGATCTCGCGTTTCGCCAAAGATCAGCTTCTGTGAGCCAAGAAGAAACTCTGGATGACCGGCAAGAGGTAGGTGCTCATGGTTGAGACTTGCGTCGGCATGTATTTGTTCCTTTGCCTGTAGAACATGGTCAGCGAATGTTTAACAGGTAGTGAACTTTACTCGGCGGTGCTGTACCAGGGCAACAGAAGGAAGAATCCATGGTTCTGCGTTATTATCACGATAGAACCCCGGGCACAAGTCAGCCTTGTGCGCGGCCGTGTCCGCTTTGAAGCTGGCTATGAGAGAAAAGGCCGCGTCTGGCTGAGTGGGTGGGATTCCGGAAAGGTGCGACATGTTCAAACCTTTCTCTTCGTGTTGATTCTAGAATGGTGATAATCTTTCGTTGCAGAGAGATTGAGGGTAATTGATGGAATACGGTATTAAGTTATAGATCAAGCTGGCGAAACCCTGATGGAGCCGTCGGGAAGACTAAAGGATGCCGGTCAGAGAACCGGCGATAAACATGCTACCGAGTGAAAGGCAACACTCGCCACGCACCAGGGCCCACCGAATTCAAAATGTCGACAAAATCCAAGATGATGAGTATTGGATCGGCCGTCAGGAACTTCACCGATTGACTTCCCAGAATATGCCGCCCTTAAATAGGACCGAGTCTGGCTTATCTACAGGCTATGCATATTAACTGTAGTTTGTTGCATAGTTAAATAACATCGAGCATTTCATAATTCTCTAATAGCACTTCATCGCTGTCTCTCGTTTCCTGTAACATACCGCACAATGTTGCATACCTCAGCTCTGACGACCACTATTCAAAATTCGCAATTGCGGCTACTCAACGCTCTTCGCGCTAATAAGCGGCCGATTATGACCTTTCTCGGTCTCCCTTCCGCACGCACAGCGCAACTGGTAGCTTCCACTGGCCTTGATGGAGTGATCATCGACTGTGAGCACGGACACATCAGCGATGATTCTATGCATAATGCAGTTATGGCTATTGCCTCGCAGGGAGTCTCTCCACTCGTCCGTTTAAGAATGACACATGCAGACTTGATCAAACGCGCTCTTGATGCAGGTGCTCATGGTATTGTTGTTCCTATGATCAATACACCTGAAGATGCCAGGAACGTGGTTCAACACGCCAAGTTCCCTCCCCAAGGGCTAAGGGGGCAAGGCTCAGCGTTTCCTGGATTTGCTTTTGGGGTTGATATCCCAACTTATATGGCCATGGCCAACGAGACTGTTCTCATTTGTTTGCAAATTGAGTCCAAGTTGGGCGTTGAGAATGTTGACGCTATTTGCGCCGTGCCTGGGGTTGGTGAGTAATCTAGCCCCCCTGACCTATGTCAGATCGTTTCTAAGTCTGCACAAGATATGCTTTTTATAGGACCCAACGACCTTGCTCTCTCGATTTTAGGTTACGCCCCTGCAAGAGGCGATGAGCCTGAATTCAACGACGCAATTGAGATGATTATAGCAGTAGCAAGGAAGCATGGCAAATGGATTGGCCGATTGTCTAATGATGGCGCCTCAGCTAGGAAGCATCTCGAAATATTTGATACAGTGGCTTTAGGCTATGATGTGCGGGCTATTCAGAATTGGTATATAGCAGAACTGAAATCTGCACGCTCGTCAGAATAAAATCAGGAATTATGAAAAACCCTCTTAGCACTTGTGACTGCATTCATCGTTTGAAGAAGCTGCAGAGATCCTCTAGGGCTTGTAACAAAGTAATTAATCAGCATAGGCCTATCAAACGATGGAGACTTGCTGCAAATCGAGAATGACGCGAACAGAATCTGACTCAACATATGGATCTGGAATTTGAGTTTTGCAATGACTAATTGGGGGACGGCGCGTTCGAGGCGATGCCGAAGCACGGTAAAAAAGTATCTTGCCGAAGTGGGGATAGTGGGCGTGTATGAGGCTATGTTGGTGTTCCGAATAGGTATAAGTGTTGGATATTTAACCGCCGCCGTTGCTTTGGCATGAAGCAGAGCTACGGATTAGAGGTCACCAACAACTACTCGAAAAAAATGTCGATATCGAAAATGGAAAAAGAAACCGAGCCTCAGCAATTGATTCATCAAACAGTAGAGTTTCGCATCGGCGACCTCTCTTTCAATATATCTACCGTTCGTCGAGATGGACCTTTGATTCCAATTTTCTTCCTACATGGCTTCGGAGGAACCAAAGAAGACTATGTTGACATTGCCCTCAATCCGCTATTCACTGGCCGGCCCTTCTTGGCCTACGACACGCCCGGGAGCGGAGAGTCGACAATGTCCGATCTATCTCTGCTATCAATGTCCTTGCTTGTATCGATAGCAGAACGAGTGCTTGAGCAGTTCAACATCACCCACTACCATCTTGTCGGACACTCCATGGGCGGTCTCGTTGCCAACCTACTAGCTCAACGGCAAGCATCATTGGTTCAGAGCTTCATCAACATCAAAGGCAACCTTGCCCCAGAAGACTGTTTTCTGAGTCGACAGGTCATCCACTACCCATCGGATGACCCAGAAGCATTTGTTGATGAGTTCCTGAAGCGAACACGACGGTCACCGCTTTACGGCAATGGGCTATATGCAGCTTCTTTTCGTTCCAAAGTTCAAGCCCCTGTAGTTCGGCCTACGTTTGAGTCTATGGTAGACTGCACGGATAACGGACGACTTTTGGAAGCCTTTGAGAATTTCGGCTTTCCAAGAATGTATATGTTTGGAGTGCAATATGCTTCTTTATCATACCTGCCGAGATTGGTGAAGGCGGGGGTGAAGCTGGCTCAGATACCCCAAAGTGGTCACTTTGTTATGTATTCGAACCCTGTGGCGATGTGGGAGCGAATTGCCGAGTTCGTGAGCCTGGTAGAGTGTTTCAATGTAGGCAGGACTCTTATTATCTGATGATAGATTAATGGAACTGTTAATGCTTGAACTTGACTTATCAGTCTTATATTAGTAAAGAAAAGTATAAGGAAAACAGTATCTAGAAGTATATACTTATGGCAGGGAAGAAGATCTTGTAAGTTTTATATACTTCCCTCCTACTGCCACTAGATAAGCTGCGCAGTCCTGAAAGTTTGCGTTATTTTGGCATTTACTTATTGTTCCATGAGTTTTTCATGCGGCTTAAGACAGCAGCATGGCGTATGTGCCTCTCATTTTTGATGAAGCTTGCTTCGATCCTTGGCTGAATATTGTCTGCCTTTCTATTCTAAATCGAGCTTGAGAATAAGTGCATTATGGACGACAGAAGTATGTTTGAGTGCTGAAAAACCACGCTAACTCCTAGCCAGCTAGTAATATCATTTTCCTCTAACAATATCTTTCTTAAAAGCCTCTTTTACTGCATTTGCAAACTGACCATCGACTAAGACCTTAAATCCCAATACTGCAATGCCCTTTGCTGCCTTAATTGCTGCATCAAATGCCGCAGGCTCACCAGCCGCCCTTGCAAATCCGGGAGCATGCACATTATCAGTCGGAAGACTTGGGATAATAAATAGAGGATGCAGCGATGGGCATTCGTAACTGACATTGCCAAAGTCCGACCCGCCCCCGGAGATGTGAGGATCACTCATGTTGCCATGGAACTGACTGTTGAAGTGCCGTGACATAATATCAGTAAACTCGTTGCAGAGGGGCTCGTTGGAATGGAGGTCTGCATATGTGTCCATTCTGTTAAACGCATCCGTTGTCAGCAACCTCGTCAAGTGGACAGGAATGCGAGATTGGAGTATACATACACTGACTCAAACTCAATACTGCACCCAGTGGCAAGGGCAGCTCCTTTAAAGCAGTTTCTTACTCGATGCTGAAGCTTTTCGTTCTCACCCAAGGTAAGAGTACGCACACCAACTTCAACCACGGTTCTCGCCGTGATGATATTTGTCATCTGTCCCCCTTCCTTGATAAAAAGGTTGAGGCGGTCTGTAGGTCGAACCTGCTGGCGTAGCATGCTGATCGCGCTGTATGTCAACGAAGCAGCATCCAATGCATTGATGCCGTTCCAAGGGACCACGCCAGCATGTGCTGGTTCGCCAGTGAAGATACCTCGGAAGATAGCTACCGACCTACCGCCAACGGCCGCTGCGCCAGCAGGTTGTGGGATGTCTAAAGGCGTACTGGCGTGAACCATAAGAGCAGCATCGACATCTTTAAAGGCACCAGCTCGAATGAGCTTGATCTTCCCACCACCACCTTCCTCAGCAGGGCAACCGAGAATCCGCACTCGACCTGGGGCGCCAGACTGCTTGAGTGCAGCAACAATGCCTAGAAAAGAGGCTATCGAAGCAGTGGCAATCAGGTTATGTCCACAAGCGTGTCCAACGCCCTCGAGGGCATCATACTCGGAGCAGATGACCACCAGACGACCGCCCTGGCCATACTCTGCAACGAAAGAAGTCTCAAGGCCATAAGCGTGCTTCTCCACAGAGTGGCCAAAGGACTCCAAAAGAGTGGTGATATTGTCATGAGCCTTAAACTCCTTGTAGCATAGTTCGGGATTGCTATGTATCTATGGTAGGCGTCAGTTGGTATATAACGTAAATGACAATGAAATCCATACTACACTGTTGATCTCTCTTAGGGCAGCCAATTCCTGATCAACGGCATTGACTATAGTGTCTAAGGTGCTCTTTCCATTGACTGTATCGGTAGCTCTTGTCTCTGTGTGCGGATGCGATGGTTGTTTAGCACTGGTGATAACAGCCATCTCGTCGAATACCTATTGGTATAGTTGAGAGATAAAGGATAAAGATATGAGGGGGTGATGTGGCGCTTGATAGCTTATTGAAGCAGGGGTCGGTCTTAGTTAAGAACAAGATGATGCTTTTAAAACCGTGCTTGAGATTGAGAGAAGTCATCCTCGTCCGGCTATTGAGACTAGTCTCTAGGTTAGACGATATCATCGTCTAGAGGGTCCACCCTAATTCGGCTTGTCGTCTACAAGCGAGCCATGTGGACCTTGAGTACCCACTTTCCTGAAAGTCAGTGATAAGAGAGCTGGCTCTTGTCCATCCATCTAGGACCAGGTTCCCCAGATTTGAGATACGAGAGCTAGTACATTACTAATTGCCGGTATTAACCGAGGCAAGCTCATAGAGATTCCAAATATTGAAGCACTTCCCGTGCCGAGACTCCTTATCTAGCACATTCTCGATTACCGTTCTCCAACGTGGCCCGAGCTTGGTCAGGATCCAGTCCCTGTGAATCGGATTCTTGGTCTCGATTACGGCCGCTAGGAGTGCTCTTTGTAGGTCTTTGAGCTGAACCTTGCGAATGGTGTGCTGGGCTGCTTGCATAAGCATGGCTAAGACATCCTGGATGTTATCCTCTGGCAGGCCGGCGCATCGATAGTAGACCATCTTCCACGCGTAGTAGATAGTCACAAAGACAGAAGCGTTCTCAATATGGTCACAAGTCGAGGTCTGGAAGTTATCATCAGGCATTGTAACCATCTGGAACGTAGGAGCAAAGTCCTGCGATAAGACGGGATCAGCGCCAGTCAAAACATCTCCGAGTGGTATACCGCCCAGGATAATGTCTTACCGTTTCTATGAGGTCAAACTTCTCCTCTATCTGCAAGCTCCTCTCTGCTGGCATAGATGTGTCTGGAACCCGATCTACGTTGGCTGACTCCATTGTCGACCAGCCAAACTCAGTAATCTGGAACTGGAGCTGGATCATGCGAACTAGCATGTCAAGGTGCTGAGCGGAGAAGACATCGTCTAAATGTTGTTCAGCTGGGTACACAGTGCCCCAGTTCAGCTGTAATGCTGGCCGCGAGGTGACGCATAGCCGCCTGAGAAGTCTTGGACGTTCGGAAATGTATCGCGCAACCTCACCAGCACAACGGTAACCCATTGCATATACATCCTCTCTGTAAACCCATAGCAGCATCCGGCACAAGAATGCGCCCATGGGTGGTGTCATGGCCACGGCTGGCTCTGACGTCGATCTGGTCAAAATCTCCCCTATCGACGAGGCCTGGAGATATCGCAAGACTGCCCCGCTTAGCTTGTGCAGTTCTTCCCTGTTGACAATGCGCTGATGGGTGAGGAAGACGTAGTGGAAATAAAATGCAGCTAGGGTCTCCACATGGTCAACAGAACTGGTTGATTGTCGTATGACTTCTCGGAATGTCGACGATGCGATAGTGAAGTGGGAAATGGCTAGCGATGACTCTGCTCTGCTAGAAGTATGATGATCAGAATGGCGCCGCATGTCGAGGTCTTGAAGTGACACAGCCAGTGCACAGCGCATAGCGATAGCACTGTAAGAGACCTTTTGCAGGAGGAGGACAGGGAAAGACCACGCGGCAACCTTGGAGGTATGTACCAAGCAAAATCCATCCTGATAGTGTCTCAGAGCCTCATATTCCTCGTGGTTCAGAGTTAAGTTATTCTCACTGAGGGCGAGCGTCTGAGATAAGACAATTTGGTTAACAAAAGGTAGCGATCCAAGTGGCAGGTTTCCCATCATGTGATCCATAGTTTCCTCATAATTTGGAGGGGATGAGGTTATCAGAGCTGACAATTCTTGCGAATTAATCCGTGCTGGAATATTTCCCATGTCGATAGGATGGAATAAATCCAGGGCGTCATCTCGTGAACATTGAGCCATTAGAGCGGCATCGGATAGGTCGTCGAATGCCGCCCAGTCCAGTGAATCGTTACTGTTGCTTTGGGGACTGCATTCCTCGGTGGCTGGCCCATCTGTATGAGCCATAAGTCGTTTCGACGGCTGCAGCTTCCGAAGTGATGTCGATGTTGAAGAAAGTCTCCTGGAAGTCGTCGCTCCATCGTTGGTCCAATATGGACTGCAGGTTAGGTTTAGGCGCTCGCATCGTCGACAGACAGGCAGACGCTCATCACACTTGACATGTTTTGCCCTACATGTGAAGCATCCTAGAGCGATGACAGACATACATGGTCAGTGCGACGTTCCCTGGAAGGGCATCATAGGAGTAACAGGCGGCCAAGGCTGCTATCGGTTCAACGTACCTAGTCTAGATCGCCCTCTGCTTTGTCGCTTCCCCACAATTGCTGCATGTGCCAAATCACTGGACATCGTTGTTGCATGCTGTTTATGCCTGCTCGAAGCTGTCGTCTCCCCTCTGCTCAGAAATGTGGAGGTAGTGACAGTTGAGAACGGCAGTGTCCTCGTGATGAGCATTTCTGGGCAGTTTCGGCTATCTAACCTTAAGAGCGGGTTAACCGACCTCCGTTTGGGTTTACCGGTCGTCTCTGATAGATAAGACCCGCACTCGTTGTCTGGCGTCGTCTAGCACAGCCAATTAGATGCTGGCCCCATCCACAGATGCTAGCAAACTAAGTGGCCACTTATCAACTTAGCTCCATTATGTACAGTAGTATCCTTTTGGCTGCCCGTGACTCGTCAGGCTTGAGTCATGTGTGAATATCAAGGCAGGTGCGACTATGAGCCTATCTCGCCGGGCTACATATAAAGTATCCTGAGACTCAGATTAAAACGCCATTGATGACAAGGTCATTCCATAAATTAAATAAGAGGACACCGACAAGTTGTCGCATAAAACAACCTAGTATCAGCAGATACATCATGGCGTCAGCTCCTGAAACCAAGCCCGAGATTTTCGATGGTGAGAAGGCCATATCAGTGATGGATCAGGACGATGATCCCTCCATCTCCAACATCGAAGAAAAGCCTCTAGTCAGAAAGATTGACCTTTAGTATGTACCTGTATACTTATTCCTTGTGCATTTCCGTGTCTTGATAGCTCTGCCTTATTGCCGTTGACTGACAAAGCAATCGCATAGCCTGATGCCTATTCTCATAGCTATCTATATCCTGCAATATCTCGATAAAAGCAGCTTGAATACGGCCTCTCTCCTTGGTATTATCCAGGATACGGTATGTCAACACTCATCAACGGGAGCCATATTAGTGATTTTCTGACTGAATGGGTAGAAACTAGTTGGTCAGGAGTTCCCGTGGCTTAACAGTGCCTTCTATTTTGGTTATCTTGCCGCCACATATCCTGTTTCCATACTTCTCGTGAAGTATCCAATTGCCAAGCTCCTGGCCTCGTCGATGTGAGCTCAAATGAATAACCTCATCCGAAATAGCAACCAAAGCTGACAACAAGTAAACAGTCTCATATGGGCGGTAGTTCTCGGCTGCCACGGTGCTAGCGAGAATTTCGCAGCCCTTTGTGCTTTACGTGTGCTCCTTGGTGCCTTCGAGGCCACTATCAGTCCCGGCTTCACGCTCATCACAGGACTCTGGTATAAGCCGTCGGAGCACGCTGCACGTCACAGTCTTTGGTTCGTTGGAAATTCCGTGGGATCTCTTCTCGGTAGTCTCATTGCTTATGGTTGCACCTTCATCACTGGAGGACCCCTTGCACCGTGGAGAGTAAGCTCACCTATTTCAAATCTTGTCTTTCCACGTCAACTCAGCCTAACTTTACTGTATAGTGGCTCTTTATTGTACTCGGTATAATAACAGCGGGGTGGGCTATCGTCTTGTATGTGTGGCTCCCAGACACGCCTGCAACAGCCAGATTTCTCAACCCAGCTCAGAGAGTTTGGGCGACGCAGAGGCCGCAGGTGGCTCAACGAAGTTTCAAGACGAACAAGTGGTCGAATTCGCAGTTTCTCGAGGCAATGATGGATCCCAAGACGTGGTTTCAGTTTTTCGTCATTACTACAGTGTCCCTCAGCAATGGTGTGATTGCTAACGTAAGTCATGCATTGGGGCCATGGTTCATACTGTGCATCGGGATCCTACTAACCTCAATTCCACTCATTTAGTTCAGCTCTTTGATCATCAAAGGTTTAAACTTCGATTCCAGACAGTCACTCCTCCTTGGGATGCCTCTGGCTGTTTATAATGTAATCGTCGTCCTCCTTTCGGCCTGGCTTACTAAGAGATTCCGCAAGTCCCGTTGCATTGTGGCTGCAAGCGCCTCGGCCCTTTCGCTGGTAGGCACGATCCTCGTCCGCCAGCTACCAGCAACAGACAATGCTGGACGCTATATAGGGCTCATCCTATGCGCCTCGTGCGCTAACGTATTCCCAATGATGCTGAGTCTCATATCAAGCAACGTCGCTGGATTTACCAAGAAGTCCACGGTCAACGCCGTGTTCTTCCTCGGATACTGTGCAGGCAATATTGCTGGTCCACAATTCTTTGTTCCAACAGAGGCACCCAAATACGGCGTAAGAAAAGATCGTCTCCCTCTCTAGACTTCTTGATAGCTGACTTTATTCCGTGTCTTCCTCTAGACTGCTTTCACCGCTTTATTTGCCATCTTTTGCATCCTTATTGGCCTAATTCTTGCCTTTAGACAATATCTAGCTTGGGAGAACTCGAGGCGGGACAAAGCTCAGGGGGTATACATTGATGCTGAGTCGCCACAGAGAGATGCGATGCCTGTTATTGTCATGGAGGCGACTGATGAGACGGATTTTGAAAACATGAACTTTCGGTATTACCTGTAGTATTATATAACTGCAAGGAAATAGGGAGGATCAACCCTGTGTTTAGGTACGGTATCAGGATGACCAGCGTATGCAATAAATCGGGAAAGATTAGCTCTGATGCCCAGTTTCAAATACGCATTGCCAAGGGACGAGAACGACTATGTAATTAAGCACAACTGGAGCATGGCTAATACGATTCCAGAAACGCGAAGCTGCCAGTTTATCACGTGACATAGCTTAGTTCTTAGTTCCCTTCGCTGGAGTTTTACCTCTTAATTCACTTATCATTCGCTACTGGAAGACAGTAATGGAGACAGAGAAGCCATTACAAAGAAAGAATAGTCGCGTGGCAATTGGATGGTACGTTTGGTATGCAAAGTTTTACATAACCGCTAATCTAGACAGTACTGCGTGTAGAGGTACGTAATGCTTGCCGCTGTATTGAGAGAAATTGCTAACACGGGCAGTGCGCCATGTACGATGTAGGTTCTGACCAGGCTTTTCCGGCTTTATCTAATTGATTCAAGGCGATAAAGAGCTTCCATCATGCTCAGCATGCTTGAAGGCAGGCATTGACTGTGAGCGCGCTCTGCAGATTCGGTTTCGACCAGGCCTTGGCTCGTCAACTGGATATGCCTTCTCCTCCGATCAAACGTGGGTTCGACCGGCAAAGTTTTGTAGGCAGTGCAGAAACACCTTGCGACAAAGCTGACGGCTCAAGTGGAATACGTCGACGAGACGGATCGAGTATCACAGGACTACGAGAGTCAAGAGCAAGAGGAGTGAGCACAACAACATATCGGTTTGGAGTATGCTAACAATTCAGTATGTGTTTAGCTCAAGACTTGTCGATTGATCCTGATCTCGCAGGACCGGGCCAACCGTCGTCTGAAGCTGCACACGTATCACCGCCTTCACAAATAGCTCATAATATATCGCCAATGCCGGAAACCAGTCATCACGACTTCGCAAACTCTCCAGCCAGTAGCCAATTGACCCGACACCTTCGTTATAGCTCTGAGCTTGTTCGCTCACCAGATTCGCCATATTCCCGGCCACCAATGCAGTTCACAACGCGCGAGGCCGAGCTCATCAAGAACTTTACCGAAAACATGGCTTTATGGGCTGATGCAACAGATGTACATCGCCACTTTGAGTTGGAAGTTCCCCGCCGGTCGTTGTACTTCCCTGTGCTGCGTTATGCAGTTTTTGCCTTCTCTTCGCGTCACCTGAATCGAGATAAGGCAGATACGTCGACCGAAGCGTTGGAGTACTATAATTCTTGTCTGAGTGTCTTGATAGAAGCGGTTGACAAAGCGAGTGGACATATTGATGAGGAAACCCTTGCCGCCATCGCTATACTACGGCAGTACGAAGAGATGGACAGTGAGTGTGAAGACTTATTCTTATCCTTCGTCAATTTGATGCTGACGTCTTTTCAGCGGAAGATATGGAAATGCACCTGACAGGAACATCCAGGATCGTCAACTCGATGTCAGAGTTTGACTTCAATGGCGGCCTCGGTGAGGCCGCAGCATGGCTATGTCTACGACAAGACATCTATGTATCGCTAACAAGATTGCGGCCTTTGAGATCAAACCTTGAGAACTACCTCCAATCTGATATCTTTCGACGCACCGACGACGCAGCCTACGCAAACAAGATGGTTTACCTTCTTGCGCGATCTCTGGGTTCCATCTACCCATCCGATTCATCTATCTCTAATGAGAGCTTGGAGAACATTCGACTAGAAGTTGATGGTTGGTTTGACTCCAAGCCGGCTGCTTTCAACCCAATCCTAGAAAGTGCCAGGAATAAGGACGGAGGGAATTCATTGCCTATTATTTGGGTTCTTTCACCTTTTCATTGTAGGTCACATTAGAGGCGGTCGGACTAATGCTGATCAATTTCATTAGCCGTGGGCTTGCAATACTATCATATCGCCAAGATTGTTCTGGCCATGTCTTTCCCTATCGCTACAGACTCGGTCTTTGAGCAGATCCGAGAGAGCAAGAAGGTCGAGGTTAGGGATCGATCGTCATATTCAGAGACAATATAACTAACTGACGTAGCGAACGATTCGAAGCCACCTTCTCCAGGTAATAGCATTGGCAAGCTCTCATGCAAAAGCAGAGAATGCTTTGTTCACAGCTCGACATTCATTATCCATTTGTTTGTCACACTCTTCGACAAAGCGACCGTTTCTATTTCTAACACTTTCGGCAGGGGGCAGCGTCTTTACCGATAGGATAGACCAAGATATGGTCCTCGACTTCTTGCGACACATACAACAGAAGACTGGTTGGCAAACAGAGTCATTGAGCTCATCATTGCAGCAACAATGGACGCAAGACTCGAATGAGGACTGATATTCAACAATACCTAACACCTATTTACATATTTTCTCCCAAATCTATAACGTATCACAGCTTAGGCTCCTCAATGCGACGTCCAATCTCATCGAACCGGATTTGCTTTCCACTCACAAGAGCTTCTTGCAGGGCAGCACCAATTTCAACAGCTCTCACAGCGTTTGTTAGCTTGAGGGGCAGAGGTTTGCTATCCAAGCAAGCCTCAGCAAACTCATTCGCCTCCTGTACAAAGGCCATCTCAAAGCGTCCGTAATAGTGAGCGGGTACCTCGCGGGTAATACCGCCGGAGTGATAGTAATTAACAAGGTTGGACTGGGGGTTTCCGTTGACTGTCAGCTTTCCCTCTGTTCCAATAACCTCTGTGGTATCCTCCTGTCCGTGGGCCATCATTCGAGAGCAGTAGTAGTATGCAATCTTGCCGCCCCAAAACTCGACGATCCCAACAGCGTTATCGTAGTCGTTGTACTTGCCCAAGTCGGGCTGCACGGCACGGACACCGTGGGCTGAAACGCTTTTGGGAATGACTTCATCGCCGAAGAACCAGAGAGTCAGATCGATGTCGTGCACGGACATGTCGACGAAAACACCGCCCGACCAAGCAGCGTACTCGACGAAGAAGCCTGAGGGGTCGTGCTTATCGCAGGTCTGACTGCGGATGATGGTAGGTCGGCCGATGGCACCCTGCTGGGTCTTGCTGAAGGCATCGCGATAGGAGTCGTCGAAGCGGCGGGAAAAGCCGCACATGACCTTCAAGTGAGGTCGCTTCTTGGCTTCGGCAACTACTTGACGACACTGAGACAATTAGGCTGGGCAATATGAACATTTACAACAAGAATACTAACCACTTCAATGCTCGTAGATAGAGGTTTCTCACAGAGAACGTGGAGGTCCTTCTGCATAGCTTGTATAGCCTCCTCAGCATGAACAGAGGTAGCTGTGCCGATGACAACGGCCTGGAGACCTTCTTGTTCAATCATCTTTTGATAATCATCGTAAAGCTTTACTCCATGAGGCTCGAGATTGACCTTGGCCCAGGCCATCTCGGTGGGATCGGGGGTGAAGGCAGCGACGAGCTCTGCGCGTGGTGTTCGATTGAGAAAGTTGATGGCATGACGCTTGCCCATACGGCCGAGGCCAGCGGCAGCGATCTTGAGCTTCTGAGGTGCCATGGTAATTGGGAGAGTATAAGATTGAAAGGCCGATGGTTGATGGTTGAGAACAAGTGAGGAGGCACTGGACTTGCATTTATATTAGTCTGATACAACTGATTGAAACCTAGCAGAGGTAGGTTCCTCGGATGACTTTCCATAGCCTTCATAGTCTCTCCACATCTGCATCTTGTTGGTGGATAACGTTGTCTTTGGAAACGGCCGTCTTTCCTGTGATTTGAAGTTGGCTGTTTGTTGCAAGTCTGGAATAGCGGGCTTGGTGCGGAAAAGAATGCCCAGATTCAGCATCGACTTGCTTTTCTGGGCGTCACCAATCCCCCAACCGAAAAGCGGGTCAGAAGCAGCGGAGAGACTAGCCATCAACACGGATAGACTTGCCCAGTACGGGTTGATGGGTGGACCGAGGATCACGAGTCATGGCTTTGTTACCCTACACAGTAATTACCTCAACAACGGATACACTTTCCCATCTTTTTGAAGTCTCTCGATCACGGACTGCCGGGTATGATTCCCTTCGCGCTAATCGGGCTCGTCTACCTCAACCCCACGGGGAGAGGGGGATGTGCTGGTTCTCCGCTTCTACCCCAGAATCAAGGTTTGGCCACGCTCTGATCCGAGAACCATTTCCATGAACGCTCATTGGTCAGCGAGACAGTCAGTAGTGGTCTAGACACATGCTGCTAGTCCTGGGCATCTCCGATGGTCGATTCATACCTCAATATGGCCGCCCTCAACTCTGACACAAATTATAAAAAGGTAGAGATCATCACTTCCACTCGCTCATCCATCATCAGCTCCATCATACTCTCCATTCAATCTACCTCCTCTCTACAAGATGGCAAAGAACGACGAAGTCTTGGAGTCGTCTCAGACGAAAGTCAGTCACGTCGAGAATGACACCAAAGGAGGACAGGACTTCATCGAAGACTCTGCTCCTGGCCTTTTCCTCAACCTGTGCGTTGTAGCAACCGCCATCGGTGGCATGCTATTTGGCTACGACACTGGAGTCATTTCTGGTGTTCTCGTCGTTCTTGGAGATGACCTTGATGGTCGACTCCTTACCCCCAGTAACAAAGAGCTCATCACTGCGCTTTGCGCTGCTGGTGCGTTTATCGGAGCCATCATTGCAGGAATCACGGCCGACAAGTATGGACGAAAGCCTGCTATCTGGTTTGCCTCGGTGCTCTTCACTATCGGCGCTGTTGTGCAGGCTGCTTCATACTCACTGGTCCAAATGTGTGTTGGCCGAGTCCTTGTTGGACTTGGTGTTGGCTCAGCATCTATGGTATGTTCTTCTGGCTCATCATACAGGCTTCCTGTTACTGACAATCAGGCAGATTATTCCTCTCTATATCGCGGAAATAGCACCCGCCAAGTACCGCGGCCGAATGATCTCGATCGACATGGTTTTCCTAGCGACCGGTTCCCTTCTCGCATACGCTTTCGACGCAGCCTTCTACAAAGTCCCTCATGGCTGGCGATACATGGTAGGATTGGGAGGACTCCCATCCATCCTCCTTGGAGTTCTTCTGTTTTGGTGTCCCGAGTCACCTCGCCAACTGTGCTTCCATAATCGATCGGACGAATGCCTTCGAGTCTTGCAACGAATGTATCCGACGGCCAACGAGACCCAAGTCGCTCAGATGATGACGGATATACAATACGGTGTTACACAAGCAAAGGCTCTCAACGAGGAGATCTCAGTTCGCCAATCTCTCAAGAGTCTTGTGACTGTTCCTGCTAATCGCCGAGCTGCTATTGTCGCGTGCGGTCTCATGGCTACTCAGCAACTCTGCGGCTTCAACACCATGATGTACTATTCAAGTACCCTCTTCCAGATTGTCGGTTTCGACAACCCCATCGCTGTTGGAACCATTGTAACCGCCACCAACTGGATCTTTACTTTTGCTTCTATTTTCCTAATTGACAGAGTTGGCCGTCGCAGACTCTTGCTCTGGACCATGTGGGGAATGCCTGTCTTTCTCTTAGTGGCAGCCGGTGTATTCAGCAAGATACCCATTGATCGACAGACTCTGGAGCTCACGGATGATAGAGTTGGATGGCCTGCTATTGTTGTTCTTGTCTCTATGATTCTCTTCGTTGCCAGCTACGCGGCGGGCCTTGGATGTGTACCCTGGCAAGCCAACGAGTTTCTACCTATGGAAGTCCGCGCTATGGGTACAATGATGATCAACATGTGCAACTGGGGTCCCAATATCATAGTATCATCTACCTTCTTGTCAATGATGCGTGGAATCTCCCCGTCCGGCACCTTTGGCTTCTACGCCGCATTGTCGTTTATTGGCCTTCTCTTCGTCTTCTTCTGCTATCCAGAGGCTGCTGGAATGACCTTGGAGGAGATCCGCGTCGTCTTTGAACATGGATTCGGTGTTAGCTACGCCGAGGAATGGCGCAAACAGAGGAAGCTGGGTAACGTCAATCATGGGGCAAACGAAGCCGCTCAGGAAGTTGTTTAGGCTAGTGGTCTCACGATTGTGGCAGGCAATGGTAGCTACATAAGTCTCAACTCTTAATGAGTCCTTACTTTCAAAATAGATATTTCCTGAGTTAGCCTCCTTACGTGATCTGATGAGTAATCTTCAACCTATGAATTTTGTAATCATAATGGCTAACGGCCAAGTGTAAACGCATGTAATATTAATGGAAAAGAAGGGACGATCAACAGTGCGGGCGTGGTGTTCGAGTCCTTACTTCCTGGCCAAACCAGGCAGATTCGGTCAGCATAGCGTACTACCATATGGTACTGCTACGAACGCGGCTTGATTTAAAGTGTTGAATAAGCCCAGGAAGTTGTCCCGACCCTCTAATTTGATTTAGATACTATAGACTGCATCTGTTGACTTTCTTAATGACAACAGCTGGTATCCTTGTGTCATACAAACTTATCCCTACTTGCATTCACAATAGCTCCGCCCATAACCACTCCCTCACGAACCCTGTCGTGCAAAATATTGTCTTAAAGATAGTAAGAAGATTATACAGTTCCTTGGGGCATCATTCGCTAATGACGAGACACCCTCTACCAGTTGCAAGCGGTCTCACCAGTAGGGTGCAGGACGATGCGAGATTTGACAAAACCACAACCTCCTAGATTTTCAACCTTCATGTTGTAGCACGTCTTGACATTCTTATCTTTCCAGATGCGGTGGGCACGAGACTTGCCCGGGTCGACGCAAATTGTCTGAGGGCGGCCACACGAGGTGAAGTCCAAGCAACCGCCAGCAACAGTGCCACCGAGACTACTGCCGACTTTGGTGCGCTGGCAGTTATTGCAGTCGTTGACTCGAATGTCGGAGTTGGACGAGAAAATTGTCAGGGGAGGGTCGTTAGGGCTACTGGGAGGAACAGGCACGGCGGTGAAGGTGTACACCAGGTCGAATGCTGCGTTATAGTCAGGGCAAGTGCCCTGGTCACAAGGTCCAGCCAGAATAACCATAGAGTCAGCAGGTCTCTTGGTGGTACCAGCCGAGGCAGTGTTATTCCAGTTGGCTGGGTCTTTAAATGCCTTCTTGTCAACACCGTCCCAATCGATCTTGTCTTCGATGTTGAGAGGTGACCACGCAGTGGACTCAGCTTTAGGGGCTGATGCCACTGGGGTGGCCGTGACAGCAGCGGCCATGGCCATGATGAGGAACTTTGTGGCGACCATGTTGATAATCTTTGGAGACAGGAAGTGTCTGGGATTTGAATATTGAGATAGGCTTGTAGCGTTTAGAAGAAGGTGGGTTTAATGCTTTGAAGTTGTGCCTGGGCTGTTGATACATTAGTTGGAACAGGAGGGTAAACTTGCCTCTTTTTACTCGAAGTATGACTGTATAATCCTAAATCTCGTGAGGTGAAGAGACTTCACTCGCCGCAAGTTGACATGCTGGACGATGCATAGAGTGACCCTCGGCTATGTTGCGATTGGCCCCCTCGCAATTCGCTTATTTTACAGGGCGTATAAGGATGGACTTCTCGTATTCTTACCGACTAGTCTGTTCATATGCCCTGTCTTATTTTTCTTTTGGCGTAAATACCTGTCAACATCGGTCTCAGAAGGTGCTACTTCCATAGTGGGCCCGATACAAAAAGACCTTGCTGAGTTAGGTAGGCAAGTACTACAGCAAAAATTCCCTCCAATCACAAAAACAAGTTCTATTGTGAAAGCTATCAATTTTAAAGGAAACTTCCGTCTTACTGCATAGACGAGTTCTGTTCCCACTTAACTCATTTGAGAGATCACGCATATAATAGTGTGATTATCTCAGAATCGTATATAAACCAGGGTGGTGCATCGGCCAGTCACCGGTAAAGTGGGAATCGTTAGTAATAGAGGATCGGATTGTTACATCGAAACTGGATCGAAATCGTTATCAGTCTTATCTTTTCTTTACTGACTGTCACTTGCCTAAGTGATCCTTAGCCTAGTTCGCTGCAATCCTCGGCAATGTCGCATTGGGAAATGATGCATTTACGTTCCATCTCGCTAATCCCATTTCAAATTGGGATATGACTCTCTTTGAAGGAATACCCAATGGAATCTGCCGAGTCACGCCGAGTACGGGCCATCGCCTGCACGATAGGGAATGCGGTCTGGCATACTGTGGATTGGTTGTGCAATGATGTCCTTATTCTGACGGGTCATCGGTCTGGACTTTACGCCGTGCGGCCAAGTCGCACTATATAATTTCACCTATATACTTCTAAAAGCTAAATCCCTTTTTCCTATATAAGAATGCAATTAGAGTTAAACTCTAAGTATTGTATGTAGATAGAGATCCAGAACAATGTAGTGGTTAGATGATTAGGGATAGATCTTCGCGGAAGCAAGAGCAGCCAGGGAGAATAGATATGCAATAAAGCGGCGCGGGCCGGGACGGACGGATGAACAGACCAGCCTTAGGATCCAACTGTGGGCCCGGGCTCCACAAAGAGGTGCCTCGGGATGTCTTCCGGGCAGGGATAGCAGCGGTCTTCGGGGGCTCTATAATCCGTGTTAATCCACTTATCCTTATCTTGACCCTCTTCTCTTTATCGGAAGTTAAACAATTTGTTAACCTCAATCTAGGTTATTAATCTTGTCCAATTCGAAACCCCTTAAACCTATCCCCAAGCTGCAAGAATTATCTTATATATCCAGGAAGTCATTATATAAACATTTTGCTTATACCTTCTCATAGAGAGATTAGGCAGCAATCCCCATGTCTAGGATGAGGGAACGTAAGCTGTCGTCATAATACCCTAGAGCCAATAACTGTGCCATTTTCAAGCCCAGCTTGGCAACATAAGTGTATGCATTATACATTGCTGCCCATTTGTTCCCTCCTGATGAAGTACTATTTAGGTTAAATAATCGTGTCTTATGACAAATGCCTGGAAAGGAAGGAGGCATGTAATGTCATTGCAAAAAAGCGAATTTTAGACCTCTTGCAAATCTCACAACCATTATCAGAAGACTTTTTGGCTACAGGATAAATCTTTGATGTTAGTAATACTTTCACTATCGCAGAAGGAAAATGCCAGAAAGCCCTTTCACCGATTCCAGCTACTCCAATAGTGGCAGTGACATGGAACAGTACGTTATGTCGCTCCGACAGGCTGTTTACAACCGGCCAGAAGGGAATTCTGAACGTTCTCGTCACCTTTATGAGCTCAGCAGTCTCCTTCGCCAGCATTATGTGGCTTCAAATGGAGAACAAAATCCTGAACAGGCTCTTTTGGTTGCTCGAGAAGCAGTTGAGATCGTCCCAAATGACAGCCCGATGGCTGCAAAGTATTTAAATAGCCTGGGCCGTTTGCTGCGTCATAAGTTCGACTTCATGGGAGACCCAAGAGACCTTGATGAGGCTATTCAAATTTTCAGGCAGTGTGTTGCCCAATCGAAAGAAGTGGACCCATCTTGGCCCCAATGGTCGACGGACCTCGGACATAGCATCTATGCTCGACATAACCTCACAGGATCACTGCCAGATCTGGAGGAGGCCATTGACCTGGCGAGAAGAGCACTTGGAGACACAGCAGAGAATGATCCAGAAGCTATAGACCTTACGATCGACCTCGTGGTCCGGCTTCGTACCCTAAACAAGCGAACAGGGTCTATCTTTGCTTCGGAAGAGGCTGTTGAGATGGCTCAAAGAATACTCGAATCATGCCCAGAGAAAAACCCGTCCCGCAGTACATTACTGCATTTACTCGCTGGTAGCTTTTCAGATCGATATGTCCTTACCGGTGTCATGGATGACCTCAATCAACATATCATGTTTTCGAGACAGGCTATTGATGCAACTTCCATCGATGATCCAGAAAAGGTAACGCGACTTGCCGGCTTAGCTGTCGGCCTCAGTGACAGGTATGCAAGGACTGGAGCATTGGGTGATCTTTCAGAAGCTATCAGGATAGCGACGATGGCGTTTGAACAGACTGAAGAGGGTACTGATGATTGGGCAACGCATGCTTGCAATTTGTCGGGATACCTTCTGACATTGTATCAGAGAACTGGAGACCGGCTGGACCTTGACACAGCAATTGCATTGGCTAGAGGTTCAGTGGGCTCGACACCGGCCAGCAATGCTTTGAGGCACATACGTCTTGGAAACCTGACAGCTTGTCTCATTGCTCGTTTCGATAGCACAGGCTCCTTGGAGCATCTCGAAGAATGTGTGAGAATGGGCCAAGAGGCCAAAGAAGCTACCCCTAAGGAACACGTTGAGTGGCCGGCGCGGTTACATGATTTGGGAGCCATCATGCAAAGAAAATATCAGATGACGGAAGATCTCGAAGATCTCGACGAGGCTATTGGCTTGACTCAGCAAGCACTGCTTGCTCTGGGGCCAAATCATCCACAACAGGCTGATACCATGTCGCTGATCGCATTGTTCTTTGCAAAGCGATACGGGGAGACAGAGTCACCCGAAGATCTTCGGCGAACAGAGTTCTTCTACAGAGCTGCTCTCTTTCAAACACAATCGCCAATCGTAACGCGCATCGAGGCGGGTGTGAAACTAATCTCAGTTTGCATGGTCCAGCGAAACATGGAGCAAGCTTACGAGGACGCAAAGTACGTTGTGGATCTCATCCCACAAATGGCTGTACGGTCACTGGAGAGCTCCGACAAGCAGGACCTTTTGCTTAAGATAGGCGGGGTGTCATCTGAGGCGGCTGGTCTAGCACTCCATCTGAATGAAGACCCGTTGGTGGCATTGAGTCTTTTAGAGAAGGGTCGCGGCATATTTGCTCTATCTCTGGATGAGATGCGTGCAGATATAAATGCCTTGGAAGAGCAATGTCCTGATCTAGCAAGGAAGTTTGTTTCGCTTCGCGAACAGCTCTCGGCCTCTACTTCTTCAGGAAAGACGCTGGATACCGAGGATCCTGAATGGAATGTTGACGAGAGCCGACGTCACGAGGCAGGCGATGAATTTGAAAGCTTGCTTGGAGAAATCCGGCAGCAATCAGGCTTTGAGACCTTTTTGCTACCTCCCTCAGAATCTGAGATCCGATCTGCGGCGGAGCGTGGCCCTATAGTTATCATCAACACGAGCATGCTACGTTGCGATGCGATCTTGGTCGAGAGCCACCAGATCACGTCTGTGCCTCTGACTGACTTTAACCGCCGCGACATGATCGAGTATGTCAAAAACGGCACATTCAAAAGTGATGAAGCTCTTCAATGGCTATGGGACTGTGTCGCAAATCCTGTATTGAACGCGTTGGGATTTGATAAACACCCTCCTGAGGGAGATTGGCCTCATGTTTGGTGGATTATGACAGGACTTCTGAACAAATTTCCTATTCACGCTGCTGGCTACCACTTGAAAGGATATTCCGAGACCGTCATTGATAGAGTCGTCTCGTCTTATCATGGTTCCATACAATCAATCATCCGTAGTAGGAAGCGGCCTACTTCGGCTACGATCCAGACAAATGCATTGCTCGTCGCAATGGAAGCCACTCCTGGGAGCTCCAAACTCCCCTTCGCGACTGGAGAAATAGAAGCTATCCGTGGCATATGCAAGTCAATGTTAATCGAGCCCGATGAGCCTGAACCAACGAGGGATAACATTCTGTCAAGCCTACTGGAATGCGGGATATTTCACTTTGCAGGCCATGCCCGCACAGATCCTGAAGATCCGATCAGAAGCTATCTCTGTTTGGATGAAGAGAGGGGAAAATGCCTGACCGTGCTGGACCTGCTAGACATAAATCTGCAGAGCCGCTCCCCTTTTCTTGCCTATCTATCTGCCTGTGGGACGGGCCGTATCGATCATAATGACCTGGCGGACGAAGGAATCCACCTCATAAATGGGTTTCACACGGCTGGTTTTCGCCATGTCATCGGGACTTTATGGGAAGTCAAGGATGAAATCTGTGTAGATATGGCTAGGATCATATACGAAGGAATGATGCAAAATGGCATGACGGATGAAGCGGTCTCTCGCGGACTCCATGAAGCTTCCAAAGAGCTTCGAGATCGCTGCTTGACTATGGCTGGGACTGATCACCGGACAAGTGGAAGCTTACAGGTAGGACCTGGTGAAAATCAGACGGGCGATGGAGATGAGATTGGGGGAAGAGGTCTTGACGGGTCTTTGAGGGATATTGTAACTTGCGACGAGGAGCCTGTTTATCCGCCATGGATTCCGTATATTCACTATGGGGTTTGATGTTTATTTATGCTCATGTTTTCATAAATGGATAACTCACAACTGAAAAACATCCTTTACTCGACTCTGTAACCTAGATCTACGAATGATTTCAACAGGTATCAACTGCACCGTCCTTCGCCGAAGGTCTGTCCATAATGGAAAACCCGTGTTAAGTCTTAGGAGATGAAAGACTCCCCACTACCGTGCATAAGCTGAGCTGAAACCACAATATTGTCATTGGCTAAGGGTTCCGACACTTTGTGAGTGCAAGCGTTTATGTCTCACAGTTAAGACACTGTCACCAGGCGAGGCGTTCAACAATCTGTCAGCTGCTGATGTATATGACCGGGAGGCTTACTTGCACTTCCAATCATGGAGTCCAAATATCTAAGACATGCTGCGGAACGTCCATCTTCCGAATAAGAACTGGGATTATGAGTTGGGAGTTGTCCGTGCGGCCGCCCAATGCGCGATACGACATCCTCTAGTATGTCCCAAAAGCCGCGTATGCAGCTTTGGACGAATCCAGTGACATGTAGCAGTGATTGAATAGCGAAGCTTGCTTGTGTCTTGCTAGCTTTGTAGCAAGCCACCGGATCATTGCTGTTGAGGACAGCTTAAGCAGCATGTATTTATGACAGTACTTTCAGCTCAGCCCTGCAGATGAGTACTTCGTTGCGATCGGCGGCTGGCTGTCCTTACCCCCGACAATCGAAATACCAGCCATGATCGAGAATCGCCCAGTCGGATCTATTGGCATCAATACTGCAAACAAGGCGTATGTCTCACCTGAATCTCGATTTATTTACCGCAATATTGTCACAGTTCGCCGGAGGAAGGTTGCATTCGACATGGCCATCAGCCTTATGGATCCTTTGAAGCCAACCATTTGGTTATAAATGGTTCAAGTTACTACTTGTTCAGAACTATTTATAAGACTCGACTAAGTTTGCACATCGGTTCTCGCCACTCTTTACACGACACAAGTTAAATATGAAATTCGTATCCGTTTTCCCCGCTTTTGGTCTCCTAATGCCTCTTTGCCAGGCTCAGGCTGACCCTAATACCCTTGCAAGGTACAATCCAGCCAACAGAACAATGTCAGCAAATACCAGTACGTATAAAACAAGCTATTTTAAACATTTTTGCAGTCTACTGACAAAGTTTCGAGCATACTGCCTCGTTCCCATCAGCAAAACTCTTGTCAAGACCATCACTGGGTATAATCCCTTGGACATCGACACTGGCATCTTGCCTTCTTTCCCTACTGGAAAACACCCGCTCATTGTCCAAGCTGGCTATAATAAGGATATTCGCATGACGGCACTGAACCTTGTCCCGTTACAGATAGACTCTCTCATGCAAGGCTCTCTCATTGTGCCTTTTGTTGACGTCACAAAGGACGGACAAACCCCCATCGGCGTCCCAGTCAACTATTACATTGGTGAGACTAATGGCCAACCGCTCCAGGCCATTGTGCCTAGTGTAGCCTCAGGTGTTTCTCCCTTTGAAGGGACCACCATCTTCCCGGCGACATTTTCTCCTGATACATCAGCTGCGAGGGTTCTCCCCAATGGTTACAATAGTATACAAGTGAAGCCCTTCCTTCTACCAAACACTATCTCTGGGCCTGGAATCTACGCTGAAGCATTCGACATGTCGTTCAAAATAACAGACAGTTCCCCTTATACAGCCCACACCTTTCACTCACTATTGAACATCCCCCAGCTTCTCAACACCAACAAGTGTCAGCGCAATACTGTCTATTTCAACGAGTCGTCTTCTGAGCCGCGGATGGCTACTGGGGAGGTGACTCTCTATCACCAGATTTTGGCTACACCTCTACAGGGACTAGAAGGAGTTTATCGGGATGTGTATTGCTATTCAGCTAATGGTCAGATTGTATCGAGCGTGGGGGAGCCTTGTAAAGAGGCGGCAGCCAACATGGATCCAGAGGCTAAGGTTTAGGGATGACCTTGAATGGAGACTAGAGCCATGATATGAACTCGAAGGATGAATGATTCACTCAATCCATTTGCGCTGATAAAACCTCGATCGCACTATAGAATATCCCATTCATCAAGGTACTTTATCACTAGTCCCTGAAACAAATACAATAAGAACTGTAGCATAGCTGAGGCTTTATGTTAGCACGGTATAATTTCGCCAAAGGGTTCGCACTTACGTTGTACCAGCCACTACAAGTTCGGTAGTTTTCGCCCTTGTTAATCCAGAGAGAACCAAAAGGTAAACGATAGTCGACATCATGACAATGAAAATCCGCACGGCAGCTGTCGACACGACGTTACAGACAACAATTGGCAGTAATAAGAGTAGAGTCACCAAACATATTAGTAGTCCTTTGGCAACGCGACTCACAAAAGGACCGTTGTATATATGGACGTTCGGGTCGGAAGAAACATATCGATTACTCTACATCTATTAGTACAGATATCTTGTGTGATGAGGAAGTGACATACCTCTCGAAACTTGGGCAGAAACTGTACAAGGCGCTCTTCTATCCAACTCTCAAACCTCTTAACTGCGTTATCAATTGTTGGTACCAGTGAGACGAGGTCACGATCGTGTTCAAGGTAAGACGTCTCGTTCGCAGCCAAACACCCGTTTCCATCAACCCAATTCCTGAGGCTTTGCACATCTCGAGATTCCGCATCGCTAAGAGTGAGTGCTAGATTTGTCTTATCTATGAAGCTATCTGCGATATCGTCAGCAGAACAGATACGGTAGTCAAGAAGGTCCATACCATAATCAATCAGTGCGGACTCTATCCTCGACATGACTGATAGCCTTTCAGCATTTCTATCAATGCGACTCTTTCCAAGAAAGATCGGTGCCTTTTCCTGTTGGTCTATTTGGTCGAGTTCGTTCTCTAGAATTGATAATTGATCTTGTTTTAGGAGCAGTAGCCGTGCTCTGAGTCTGTTAAAGCGCCGAAAAATAAAAAAAGGGCTATGCGATGCGATAAGGGCTGTAAATCTTGGGTACCCTGGTCTGAAATCTTCAACTAGAATGGGGGTTAGATGGCCATGCACTTTTCACGGGAAAGACGTTTTACTTTTTCCTGTTGGTGGTTTGGATAAATGCGACGGAGTTGCCGAAAGAGGAAGAATGGGCTGACCCCTCATGGTGTCGTAAAGGTGGGATTGTTGGCACACAGAGTGAACTCGTGCAGGACTCTAGGACTTTACAAGCCACTTTCAGGGAACTGCCGGTTACTTTAATCATTGAGCAGGCACTTGAGGTATCCAATTGAGTGCCCCCACGTGCACATGCAAGTCGAGGCCAGGCGGGCAACATACATAAGGTCAATACCCACTGTTGTGTCGTTATTTCATTTCTCCATTTCTTGCAATTCCACTAGCGTCACCTCAAGATGTCTGACGACCAGCAGTAAGTGGTTGAAACTATGGACTTGGAAGTAAGCTAATGCTGGTCACTCCCAGAAAGAACGAATCGCCTGAGTACACCTCGGGCGGCAAGCGACCATTCGTCTCGACATACGACAATGTACGTAAATACTGTCACTTGACTAGCTGAAGCTCTTGTACTGAATCAGGCTGTGCAGGCACCAAGCCTCAAAGTAGGAGATAGTGTCTATCTGCTGAACACGGATGGGTCCCGAGAGGGCCCGTATCTTGTTGCAACGGCCCCAGTTTCCGGACAATGCACGCTTTGTTATGACAATGGGAGTCCGTTCAGAAACAATGCGGACATTGATGTGGATGAGCTCGAGGCCTGTTGAATGAGCGTCGCGGGATCAACAATGATAAGCACGCATTGCTAGGGCACATGATTCCTCACATCATTTTGGTGGCTTTTCAGGCAGAAATGCATTTGGGGCAGTGTAAGGCAGCCAAAAGGCAAAGTACATTGAAACAACAATGCATATGCATAAAAGTCACCGCAGTAAGACCAATCACGTACATATTCTGTGTTACCCCTCACGATAAGACTTGCGACAAGTCAGACCCAGTGAATAACGTCGCAAATCAAGTTCCAGACCATCAAAACAATGGCCGAAAAGAAGTCTGTTTCGCCAAAGCATTATGCTATCCTAATTGGCATCGACGCTTATCCTGAGAAATACAATTCGTCGCTGAAGGGTTGTGTACGAGACACGCAACAAATCAGATCATTACTGGAGCAGCAACCTTTTCCCATCAATATCCAGACCTTGACAGCTACGCAAAGCTCTGATAGTAGCATCACAGGGCCAGTTGAAGATCTTACTAGGTTACCAACTGATGACAACGTAATCAAGGCGTTCAGAGATCTTACGTCTGCGGCTCAGTCTGGAGATTATATCTACATCCATTACTCTGGCCATGGCACCCGCATCGCTCCCACCGCTAAGGCATTCTCCAACCAGCATACTGGAGACTTGGCTCTAGCTCTTCTAGGTGGTGAGAATGGTGACGAAGTGAGGCCACTTGGAGGGTACAGGCTAGCAGTTTCTCTAAATGCCATGGTGTTAAAGGGTCTGGTTGTCACTCTAGTTCTTGACTGCTGTTTTGCAGCAAGTATCTATCGCCTAGACCGTCCCGATATTCGATTCCTCCGAATCGACCCAGACCTGGCATCTGCGTACTTCGCCGACAAAGACTTGTCGGAGCAAGATGAGGAAACACCTGGATCAGGCTATCGCGATGTATCAATGCTGCCAAGCTGGTTGATAAACCCAAATGGCTATGCACTTCTTGCAGCTTGTGGTCCTCATGAAGAGGCGGGCGAGATAGTTCACAAAGGAATATCCCACGGCGCCCTATCCCATTTTCTAAACCTGTGTCTGAGAGACGGCGGGTTGAATCGCAAGCACAAGAATATCTTCTACCGTCTCAGCTCCAAATTCCGTGCTCACTCGGTTCAGCAAAATCCTGCATTGTATGGGAACAAAGACCAGGGATTCTTTGGTGAGAACAATATCACGAACTCACGATCTACGGTACTTGTTGTGAAAAATGGTCAGCATTTTGCATTGCAGGCGGGTCGGGCTCATGGAGTATCAGACGGCGATGAGTTCATTCTGTATCCCTCCAGCGTGCTTGAGAAGAACGAGGCCTTTCACACGAATGTGATTAAAACAAAGGTTGAAAGAGCTGGTCCTTTGACAAGTTTATTGCAACTGGGCGATGCTATGGCTGCGACATCTGAGACTGATTGGGTCGCTGAACCACAAACGAGACGAGCGCTTGGCAAGTTCTCGGTTTCTTTCAGCGATGCAATATCCCCCAAAAATATCTGGCCAGAGGCTTTAACAAGATATGGGCTGACCCACGCTAGCGAGAACGCATTGGCATCCTGGTTCCACGTCGAAGCTATCGGCAACGAGTACAAGATTCTGACTCGAAATGGTGAAGAAGTGATGAACCTCCCGTCATTGTCACAAAGTGCAACAACTGCAGATGATGTGGCTGCAGTTCTGGAGCATTTAGCTCGATACGAGGTTGTCAAGAGCCTTTCAAATCCATTAGTGGAAGAGGATTTCCGAACGTCGTTCGACATCAATATTGTACGAGCGGGCGATCGCTTTGGCCCAGATATTCTGGTCGACGTTGAACAAGATGCAGGCAAGGGAGCTATGTTCGAGCTCAAGCTTCAGAACCACGGAACCAAAGTTTTGTACCTGTATATCCTGGACCTTGGCCCTCTTTGGCAAATTGAGGATATATATTGTGGCAGCTACGCAGTGGTTCCCCCATACAACCAGAATGAAAGGTTCATGACAGGCAGCTTCACCAAGAAATTTAGAACCATGGTACCAGACGAGTTGAGACAGCAGGGCATTGAAGAGTGCTGTGATACTCTCAAGGTCTTGGTCACGTCTCAGCCGACTTCCTTTGACTTGCTGGAGCTTCCCAAAATTGGTCATGCTCTCAAGAAGAGATCACCAGCCGACAATGATAGGTCCGGAGGTAGCTCTGTTGAGCAGTGGATCGCTTTTAACTTTCCGCTAAAGACTTCACTGGCAGCAGAACTGAGAGCCTCGAAGACCTGTTGACCGTCTAGTGAGACTGCTATTCTTGAACCGGTATATTAATGTTAAACGATTTATGCCTCTCCTGGCGAGTGCATCCATGGTTGTAACCGTTTATTGTCACTCTCAATCCGTGATTCGATGCAACAGCCAACCACTCGTAATAATCAGTCTCGTTTTCCCCTGGAACATGCCACGTGTAGACCCAGGCCCCATAAGCTTTGGCTTGTCGTCCATACGGCACAAGCCATGGTAATAGCTCCACAGCATACACTCGACGCACGACTCGGAAGCTGCTTTGTGAGAGTAAGCGCCAAGCCTCCTAGCCTCTTCTTCAGGTTTTCCGAGTGGTGGTACGTCATTTGGCATTGAGACCATGTCGATAAGCGGCACAGAACATAACCTAGGATATAAAACGGTCTGGACTTACCCCGCAATATTAAGACCCTCTAAGCGATATCCATTACTCGGAACGAAGAACAGTCGCTGGGGCCACTAAGCAATCAATATGGAAAAACTCGATCAAGACATCTTGGAAGCCACCAAGAACATGCCGACAGAGCCAGAGAAAGACGACGCTGGAAAAGAGTCTCTTGAAAAGCTAGCAGACTTGCTAATCACTCGGTATCAGCAAACTGGAAACACGGATGACCTTCGAGAATGTTTACGCCATAAGATGCTGCTATTTCGCTCCTTGCATATTCCTACTGAAGCATCTCTCTGGTACGTGGTCATTATAGACGAATCCATAGGTTCAGATGTTCCATGTCGTTTCGAAGAGACGAACGACCCTGAGGACCTCAGAGCAGCCATCACTATCTGCTGGCAAGTTTTCTTTGAAGAGCCCAGCAATGCTGAACATGAAGCACTACGAGTGAGGCTACCATTCATACTGCGTACCATAACACTACACTTATATGAAAAGTCGGGCAACTTGGGCGATATAGAAACGGCAGCGTCATACTCAAGACAGGTTTTGCCTTTTGTTCCAAATCATATCGAGGACCGAGCCAACCCTCTGGATGAGTTCGCTAGGACCCTATTCAAGAAATACCAAGTGCAAGAGAATCCAGATATTCTCCCAGTTGGAATACCATTATCAAGGGACGCCATTTCCGCCACTCCTGAAGGTCATCCCGAGTTACCAGCTAGAGTAGCTAACCTCGGGGCCTGGCTCTTAAGACGCTATGAAAGAAACGGAGATACGAATGATCTTCAAGAAGCAATCAAAAAGACAGAACTCGCTATTAATCTGTTGGACAAAGAGAATTTCAATCAACTGAGATTCCTAACCAACCTTGGGATCATGCTATCTCGACAGTTGGAGCTCACTTGGGATGAGAATGATCCTGACCAGACTGAGATTATGGCATCTCGCGCCGACATTGGTAGAGCTTTGCACGTAAACAGCATTGCACATCCATTACTTGGAATTGAGGCAGCGAGAGATGCTATCCGTATCTTCAAGTTTCACGGAAGGCTAGAAGAAGCAAATTCCCTTACTCAAAAGGCATTGCAGTTACTACCAATGGCCTGTCATCCATCTATCGCACGCCAGGATCAGCAGCACGCCATCCAACAAATGTCGAGGTTCGCAGCCGAAGCTTGCTCTCTATCACTTCTTGTTGGAAAAACGCAGGAAGCGCTTCTGAGTATTGAATTCAGTTCTGAAATTATCTTATACCACTTGATTAAGTATGGAAACAAACTGTCTCTTCTAGAACAACATAGTAAGAGGTCGGCCGAACGTTTTGACCAGTTGCGATCTGCAGCCGCCCAACCCGTGGACACCATGGACCAAGTCACTATACAAGATCGGATTGTGCCAGAAGCTCAGGACTTTGCCCACGACCATGACTTTGAACTCGCGCTGATCAGGAACCTACCAAAATTTCGAAGCTTTCTTACATTACCAAACCTAGACGACTTGGTCAACGGAGTCACTGATGGGTCAATCGTGATAGTAAATATCACTCCCCTCAGCAGTGATGCCATCATTATCCTACCGTCTGGAAAAGGAATCAGGTCCCTTAGCTTACCAAAGGCAACATCCGTGGGAAACCTATTTCTTGACAAATATTCGAAAGCTTTCGGTCGTATAAGAAAGTCCCAGGGTTTAGAGGAACAGGACATAGAGAGCGACAAGGATCTGTATGACGAACAGTTTCTGAGTTGGCTCTGGACAGCGTGTGTCGACCCGATCGTCAAGGAGATCGCAGGGTCACAGTCATCGTCGTCTACCCCTCGAGTTTGGTGGATTGGGACGGGTATCGCCAGCAGATTTCCGTTCCACGCAGCAGGAAACTCCGAGGGTAGCACTTTGGATAACGTAATATCGTCTTACATTCCATCTATCACGTCTTTAACAGAAACAAAAGCTAGCATGACATGCAGTGGCACCAATGGCGAAGGGAACTCATTGACGATCGTCATGACGCCCAAAGATTCAGATGGATGTCAGCCCCCAGATCCTACAGATATGCTACGAATAATAGAGGAGGCTCCTGGAGAGACCTTCAAGGTGGTGACCCTGTCAGAGCCATCACTTGAAGAGACATTGGAAAATCTGCGCAGGTCTCAAGTTATCCATTTTACTTGCGACGGCTACTCTGATCCTCTCAAGCCGTCCCAAAGTTACGTTCAAATTCGCAGGTACTCATCACTAAGCACAGACGAGGTAAAACTGACTGTAGACTTGATATCTAACAACACAACCTTGGACAAGTCAAAAATTGGTTTCCTCTTATTGTACCCCTCAGTAGGGGGTAAGGCCAAGCAATCGACTGATGGAGGGTTGGGTATCATCAGTGCATTCCAATTGGCTGGGTTCAAGCATGTTGTGGGATCTTTATCAAACGCCGATGGAGCTTCTCATGCTCATGTTACTAAGGGTTTTTATCAATCTGTAAAAGAGATTGGGTTGGTTGAAAACACGGATTGGGCAGTGGCAAAGGCATTGCATAATGCTCTAAGAAACGCTAGAGACCATGATGAAGATCCACATTGGTGGGCTCCATACATTCACTCGGGTGCTTAAGTAATAGCAGATAGATTAAGCTCCAACTGCCAGTCCAAGCTCAACTTGATACCCAATAACAGTAGATATACTTTTTTGTATTATACTCACCGAATGAGATCGTTTTACCAATGAAGGGCGTGGTTGATCCTTCTCCTTAACTCTTCAAAGAACAAGCAGTCCCAAAGTCCCTACCTCTGCACATCGTCGCTAATATCCTGAACTCACTTATTAAGGCCATAGTTCTCTATATAGTATATTACTTAGTTTGCAATATATAAATTAATTTGTACTTTAATAAGAGTGCTGTTTTGAGTTAATAGACCTAACAGCTAATGGCTTATATTGAGTACCTTATATAAATTGATTTGTAATGTATGAATTGATTTATAATGGTTTAATTGATTTGTAAAATATTGAGCTATCCTTATAGAGTATAGAGTAACCCGCACTTTTTACCGTTTGTTAGTCAGCTTATCTGCAGTTATAATAATAACTCTAGACTCCTACGTCTTCTACAATTAACCCCTTTAAATAGTTGTGTAAGCTGCTATAATAATTATTCGGCTTGATACAAGTACAACGCTCCAACATGGCTTCCCATCTTGGCATCATCAACTTGTTCTCCGTCCAAGACACTGTGGCTGTTATTACAGGAGGAGGTTCAGGCCTTGGAGCCACGATTGCCCAAGCTCTAGAAGTATGCTACATTCTATCTCACTTTAAGCCTCCCAGACCACGATGCTAACAAACCGTCAAGGCCAATGGCGCTCGTGCTGTCTATGTGCTCGGTCGCCGAGAGGAGAAGTTGAAAAACATAGCAAGCAGTGCGGTTCACGGAAGAATCCATCCTATCGTTGCCGATGTCAGCTCCAAGGACTCTCTGGCAGCTGCAGTCGAGCAAGTACACCAGCGCGAGGGACACATTAATGTGCTCATTGCAAATTCAGGCATGATAGGACCCAATGTCGCGAAGTTATTCTCGGGCGGCGAGACCCCTAGTTTGGACAAGCTGCGTGAGGCGCTATGGGACGTCCCTATGGAGGACTTTACGCAGACGATGAACCTAAATGTCACTGCCGCGTTCTACACTGTGGTTGCCTTTCTTGACCTGTTGGCCAAGGGCAACGCAACCCGTGACAGAACTGACCTCCCCTCTAGTCAAGTGATTATCACGACATCCATCTCGGCCTTCTCACGGAAGCCTGCAGCGGGCTTCGCTTACAGTGCGTCTAAGGCTGCGGCAACGCACCTGGTGAAGCAGTTATCCACATGCTTCGCGCCCTATAAAATCAGATGCAATGCCATTGCCCCAGGCTTCTTTCCCAGTGAGATGACTGAAAACATGCCCTGGATGAAAGGAAGCAATCCGAGGCTTGAAGGCAATCTGTCCAGTGAGACGTGTCCCCTGGAAAGAAGTGGAACAGAGGAGGATATAGCAGGTCAAGCTCTGTTCCTGACGAGCAAGGCAGGAGCTTATGTGAATGGTTGTATACAATTGCTTGATGGAGGGAGGCTATCAATACTACCAGCTACCTACTAGGATCGCACTACAAATTATTGCTACCATGCCAGTGGAGGACATTGTACTTTTCTGACATACACATATGTCTACGAAACCACACACTACTTCAGGCAGCCCTTTCACTGTAATTCATAATGAGCTGAAATTTAGTTCCATCTCTAAGCTTTTGTAAAGGCCCAATGCAGTGCCACAGAATTGTTTGGCCGCTCAAGCTTTGCAGCGATCTCTGACCATTCCATTCCTCTGTCATGTACCCTTGCTGGCGGCGATCTTGAAGTCTTGATCAAGTTTCTTCCCTCTAATCCATATTCCGAGCATGCTTCTGCACACCAGACTCACTCAGGTTCAAACGCTATGGCAATATACGCCCAGTCAAGCCCCTTCACCACCTAATTTAGGAGGTGTTCTTCATCATCTGTTGTCCAAGGCGGTGGCCGTCGTCTAGGCTTGCGTACTTCGATCCGAGCGCCTTTAATCTGCACTCGACTTAATTTGTCGTTGCCATCTTTCGTACTTAATGTGGTGGTGCCGCTGGCACTGCTCTCGCGTGTCATGCTGAAGTGTTGTGCTGCCATGCTAATGCTAAGTGCAGAGGTGTCAGCTGTCTGGTGACAAGCAGCACAAGATTGAGGACGGTAGTATATACCATGGCTGAGCTGGAGATTCTGTGCCGGACGCCTTTTCGAATCTCGCCTATGCCAGTCCAGACGGAAAGGGTGCCAATATGATGATTTACTCGCTCAAGGATATCGCTGCACCGGCAAAAGAAAACCACCATGCACCAGAATCCTCCCAGATCACTGTCGTCCGCCCTGTCTCTGAAGCTCCTGATACCAACGAGGTGATGGGAGCTGCTATAACGGCCACCGAGGAGCATGGGCTACCCACTGAAATTTGCACATTCCTCAAGTTGACCAAGAGAGACATTCGCGGCCACATCTTCATTGTTCTCTCAGAGCTTGACCATTTAGTTTTGTTCCGAGTTTCATCAGAAGAACTATCTCTCTTGCAGCGCCTCACATAAGAATCGGCTGGTACTCTTTGGGTTACAAGGGGAGATCTTTTGGCAAGTGCTTCCAAGCCTAAAATGTCCATGTTTCACGGTCTTGCTCGCTCACTTCGTGCGGAAGTAGAGGGTCTGCCGTGCATGACCATGGACTTCGATGTCAGGCAGAAGTTATCACCCAACAGGATGGCCGAGTTGATCACGAGAGTCTTCAATACAACATTCCTTGCTGAGCGGCACAGTGGTCTAGAAACAAGGTCAACCGTCTAGGTAGATTGCAGCACTTGAATTTATATGCTGATGTTAAACTATCCAGTCCACCTCTTGGAATGTATTCATGGCTCTGGGCATCTACATCAACCCTGTCATAAAGTCATTATTTCCTAGCCATTCCTCTAACTCTGCGCTATTCGCCGTCCACATCATCGGATTCATTGCTCGCAGGTCACCGTTCACCGTATCTGGACCTGTTGTTCCACCTTCGTTTTCAACTTCTCTATCGCTGCCATCATGCTGAGTGAGGAGATGATCTTGTAGGCTGGAGATGCCACCACTGGCAGAGGCGAATCCTAGCGCGTCTAGATAACCATCTATCTTTGAGCTATCTTGACTCCCGCCCACTAGCGTTGTCGAATGGCGAAACTTCACATAACCCATAGCAATTCTGCAGAGAACTTGGAAGAGGCGTTGTATCTTAGCGGCGGGCTCAGAAACAGAAGATGCAGACTGGATGGAAGTAACAAAGTCTTGGAGGCGGGTCAGATCCGCCTCATCCTGGGTTTCGATAACATGGCAGAATATGACGATAAACGGAATAAAGGGAGCAAATAAAAGTGTCCTGGATTTGTCAGTGCTGAACCAGAACGGACAATGAAAATGACTAAGAAACATGAATATAGAATCCGTTGCTTACCAATGTATGTAAGTCGCAAGGTAAGGTGTTGCGCTCCTGTGCATGTGTGCGACGCATTCTTCATGTTTCTGTAAAGTTGCTCTTGCGGCGGCAACACAGTTATAGTTGAAGGTTGTGGTAGAGCCTGGTATGGGTGGCGCGGCTCGGTGAACAAGTGTGAGGAGGGATAGGCGGAGGACCTTGTCTGAAATGTAAAAGAAGTTTATTAAATCCTCACCAGACTCCTTCTTTGCTTCGTTGAACCATTTTGCCTTCAGTCTATGTTAGGAACTTAGTCACTCATTTGCTTGTTGACGCTGACCTACATTGGTTTCCCAGATCTTTGCATCCAGGTTCTGCAAATCAGACACCAAGGCCTCGACCCGAGACTGCTTTACCTGGTCGGGCTGTGCCATGGAATTGGGGGTATACAGCATCTCATAAATATTGCCTTGACATCGCGCCGTCTCGATAGATATAGCGAAGTAGGCTAGAACCGCCTCAGATGTAGTATCGTTGGTCGATGGCTGTGGTACCGTGATATCCCAATCAGGAATTGTTGAGGGCCGTCCTAGGCGCAGAGACAGGCTTTTGTCAATGAAGTAGATGCTCCAAAACAGAAACTGTTTGTATTCGAAATCTTCCTGTTTATCATTTTCCATCGATGCAAGCCTGTGATAGCTCAGCGTCTGGCAAAGTTCCGATCCTTTAGCTGATAAGGTCCATGAAAGAGAAGGTTTCGAGAGTTCAATGGCATAGGAGGCCTGGAATTTAAAGTAGTCAGCACAGGAATGCATGATTGATTGAAGAGGACATTTACACCAAAAAGAATAGCAAGAATGGTGTCAGAGTTTGCAGGCAAATGCAATGGCAGGCTTGATAGAACAGTCTCAAGGTTGTCGCGACACAAATGAGCATGAGCGACATATTCGTCCCTTTCCTGTCCGACAACGTGGAAACTGTAGTCCCAAAATAGTGAATAAAGGCCGGCGTTGACAGTGGTGAACTTGGCTTCAGAATGATTGTCATTAAAGTAGACGTCGAGACACATGTCTGTGAACCGTTGAAACGGGAGGAACTGGTAAATCCAGCTGATCCCTGTGAGCTGTTTGGCTGAGGTGTCGATCACAGCGTCAGCTTGAGTGGTCACATGAATAAGAATCTGCACGAAAATGGGTCAGGGCGCACCTTTTGCAAGACGGATTAAAGCGATGGCCTTCTTAAAGGGAGGCATTTCATACTCTGGGAGTTTAGCTCCCTGTATGGGCCTAGCGTGTGGGTATGCTAGCTCATGACCTACAACAGCTTCCTTGGTGAGTATAGAAGACAGTTCATCAAGAGTGTCGCATAATTCTGGACTGGAATCTCGCAGTGAATCGGTGGCAGCCACTCTCTGTAAGAACTCGTTGGCAAAGGCAGAGTGAGCTGCCAAGGAAGAGTCTCCCTCGACGACCTGCCCATGAGCCCTTTTCGGTTTGGTTGAGTCGCTGGCAGGTGTCGAAACAGAGGAGGGTGCCTGGTCAGAGGCTCGTGCATTTCTGGGTGACCGAGAGCTGTCGTTGGAAGGCTCGCTCGCTTGGAGCTTTTCCAAAAGCCCGATTGCCCTTTCAAGCCTGCTGTCGATGAGGTCTATCTTTCGTTCGCTGGAGGCAGGGAGTTGATATGTTAGATAACGCGCAAGCACAAAGATGGAATATCATGAGACTTCATGTGGATGGAGTCCAGGGTCCGCATACTATTGTGGGGTGAGGAGAATGCGCGTGCGCTTCTTTGGAGCTGGGACAGGGGTGTAGACACAAACAATTTTGGCACTGATGCAGTGGGCGCAAGGCGACTCTCTGTCGCAGCGAACCTAGACGTAGGGATGTGAGCTCGAGACTCCAAACTCGGCAAAAGGACTTAGGGTCTTCCGCATTCATGAATAGACGCATACCTTGCGACTACGACAGGCATCGCACTATGATAGAGATTAATGTCTGAGTCCGGAGGCTGAAAAGTGAAAGATGGGAGTACTCACAGCTCGGCGATTTGCATCAGGGAGTTCCGGTGACCATTCAGGTCCATTGCCAAGTCTGTTGGCCTCGAGCTGACCGCCGTTATCCATGCTGTGGTGGCACAGGTGCCGCAGCAGCTATTACAAGGTGAGGGTCCGCCCTTCTACTTGGTAAGGGTTTGTGTAAAGACGAGGATTTCGAGGGTCGGGAACAGTGAGTTCGGCCTCCGAGGACGGAAGAAGGGGAAGTGCAGTGTAGTACCAGGGAGGCTGGAGAGGAAGCGGATTTTCTCTTCGGTGTAGATAAATCGAAAGCAGAAAGGGACGCAAGTCTCCGTGGCTCTGACGCAGACGACAGTCAGTGCTGTTGCAGCACTTAGCTACTTGGCCAATGGAGGCCTTTAATAAAGTGGAGTGAGACTCAAATTCAGTTTGGCCCGGTCATGACTCCCTCGCCGTCATCGACCTGACTCAGGGACCCACCCGGCTCATCCCTCGGTCACTCGGTCCCGGGCCCCGCGAGCTCCGGCCGCCGAGACCAAGAGTCGATCATATCTAACGTGTACTTGGGGTATTGGCACCTCCGAATTGTGGACACCAGCCGGCCGGGAACTGGGACGTGTGAGCTCCGGCCCCGACGCTGTCACCACGGCCGACAAGCATGGAAACCAATGTCTGGTACTTGTCCTTGAGAATAAAATGATTTGCCGCCGCCCTCTCTGAGCTTTCAACCAAAGTCGTTCCTTACCAGCAATCCTTACTTCAAAGCCCACGCCAGACTGCATTATCGCCAGCCGCTGGCAGCATGGGTTCCAAAGAAAAGAAAGACAAGACGGACCAGAACGATGGGCCTCCTGCTACCACCTCCACAACCGAAAAGGAGCCTCAAACATGGCCCTATGCTAGAATTTTCAAATTCGGCGGTGTGTTCGAGCATTCAATGCAAGCTGTCGCCATCTTTGCGGCCATTTGCTCCGGCGCAGGTATTGCCCTTCAGAATCTCATTTTCGGGAGGTTCATCACTGTCGTTATCGATTTCGCGTCCGCAAAAATATCGCCTTCCCATCTCCGCGACGAAGCCGCAACACTTGCTCTTTATTTTGTTTACCTTGGCATCGGCCGATTTCTTCTATCATACACCTACAATACGCTTCTGACCTACACGGCTTATCGCATTACTCGAAATATTCGACACGCATACCTCAGAGCTGCGCTCAGCCAAGAAGTCGCATTCTTCGATCTCGGCACCAGCGGCTCCATCGCAGCCCAGGCTTCTTCCAACGGCCGCTTGATTCAAGGTGGAATCAGTGAAAAGTTGGGTCTCCTGTTCCAGGGCATATCTACCTTTGTGACAGCATTTATCATTGCGTTTATATTCCAATGGAAACTTACACTCATTTGTCTCTGCATTGCACCCGCAACGCTCATTATTAACGGAGCTGCGGCTGGTATCATGGCAGGCCATGAAACCAACATCTTGGAAATCCATTCCCAAGCCAACTCATTCGCCGAAAACATTTTATCAAGTGCCCGTACAATCCACGCGTTTGAGATGCGCGACAGGCTAGTCCGCAAATTCAACACCTACTTGACCGATGCCCACCACGTTGGTAACAAAATCTCACCTCACTTTGGCACTTTGCTTTCAGCCGAGTATTGCATTGTCTACCTGGGCTACGGTCTCGCATTCTGGCAGGGTATCCGAATGTTTTCTAGGGGTGAGATAGACCAGCCTGGAGAAATTTTCACGTAAGTAGCTCTCGCACAGGTTGGCCAAGTTACCAACTAACAACTAAGTGTCCTCCTCTCTGTTATAATCGCCGCCACCAGCCTCACAATGCTTGCGCCATATTCTGTCGACTTTACCCGGGCGTCTGTTGCTGCGGCGAAACTCTTTGACCTGATCGACCGCAAGTCCGAGATTGATTCATTCGACAGTACCGGTAAAATACCATCAGAGATGATAGGAGAAATTTCTGTCGACAATGTTACTTTCGCCTATCCAACCCGACCCGGCATCGCAGTCCTTGACAACTACTCCGTCAAGTTTCCTGCTGGAAAAACTACTGCCCTAGTTGTGAGTTCAAAACGTCACCGATATGGAAGCGTGCCTAACTGTCTTTTGTAGGGTCAATCTGGATCCGGCAAAAGCACTGTCATCGGTCTTCTTGAGCGCTGGTATAATCCTGAGTCCGGCACGATTTCGTTAGATGGCTGCCCAATCGATCAGCTGAATTTGAACTGGCTCCGAACCAATGTCCGTTTAGTGCAGCAAGAGCCCGTCCTATTCCAAGGAACCATCTTCGATAACATTCGATCTGGCCTAACTGGCACTGCATGGGAAGATGCGCCAGAAGAAGAGCAGATGCACCATGTTGAAGAAGCTGCTAAGCTGGCGTTTGCCCATGAGTTCATCTCTAAGCTACCTAATGGTTATTATACCCAGGTTGGTGAGCATGGAGGCCTGCTCTCTGGTGGCCAGAAACAACGTATTGCTATTGCGCGCAGTATCATTTCCAAGCCCAAGGTTCTTCTTCTAGACGAGGCTACAAGCGCACTTGATCCTGAAGCTGAAGTCATTGTTCAAAAGGCGCTAGATAGGGTCTCTGAGGGTCGTACAACGATCGTCATCGCTCACAAGCTTGCTACTATCCAGAAGGCCGACAACATCATCGTCATGATGAAAGGACGCATCGTCGAGCACGGTACTCATCAATCTTTGATCATGCATGGCGGTACCTATGCTCGACTCGTGCAGATTCAGAACCTCACAGCACAGAGCGACGAGTCTGGAGACATTACGGACCAATCTGAATCCCTCGATCACGTCCCGATGTCTATTGAACCGAGCAGAACCTTGACTCGGCATGAGACCTCTCACCAAAGCGATGTCGATGGAGGCAAGGATCTAGGTGGATATGATCAGCATGAGCAGCGCGGTGTCATCTCTGTCATGATTCGGATCGTTGGCCAGACGCCTGAGCTGAGGTTGGCATTTATTGTCATCCTGATGGCGTGCATCGTGGCAGGTAAGTGGCCTTCTAACTCTGGCTCTGCCAACCCCCCTCGATTACTAACATCTCGCAGGCGCAACTTTTCCTGGCTTGGCCATTCTAATTGCCAACATCGTGGAGGTCTTCTCTCTAACAGGGTCTGAGATGGAGCTTCAAGGCAACTTCTATGCTAAAATGTTCATCGTCTTTGCTTGCGGGTGTTTTGTTGCCTACTTCGCTTTAGGATATGCCACTAACGTCGTTGCTCATACTTTGAGTCACAAGTTCCGCAAATCCATTCTTGAGAACATCCTCCGACAAGATTTGCAATTCTTTGATCGAGAAGAGAACACCACCGGGGCGCTGATCAGTCAGATAGACTCAAACCCACAGGCTGTCCTTGAACTCATGGGCTACAACGTTGGTCTTATCCTTGTCGCCGTCTTCAACATCACTGCCTGTAGCGTCTTGGCTATTGTGTATAGCTGGAGACTTGGCTTGGTAGTTACTTGCAGTGGCCTTCCCCCTTTGGTTATTGCCGGTTATCTTAAAATCCGGTTCGATGCTAAACTGGATCGCGAGACGTCGAGGCTCCTGTCACTCAGTGCTTCTATTGCTTCCGAAGCGATAAATTCTATCCGGACTGTTTCGTCTCTTGCTATTGAGAATTCAGTGCTGTCGAGATACTCCCATGAGCTCGATCTTGCATTGGCTGGCTCTAAGCGACCCGTGTTGACCATGATGATCTGTTTCGCCTTTACACAGTCTATCGAATACTGGTTTATGGCCCTTGGCTTTTGGTACGGTTGCTACCTTTTATCATTTGACCAGATTAGCATATATGCTTTTTTCGTTGCCTTCTTAGGCGTCTTCTTCTCTGGCCAGTCGGCTGCCCAACTTTTCCAATATTCGACCAGTGTCACTAAAGGCATCAATGCGGCCAATTATATCTTTTGGCTTCAGGACCTCCAGCCGTCGGTAAGGGAAACAGATGAAAACCGTGGAAACGGCCCTGAATCTGGCGATACGGTGAACATCCGTGATGTGCACTTTTCTTACCCTCTTCGACCCGAGATGCGCGTCCTCAGAGGCATAAATGTCAATGTAAGTAGCACGCTTTGCCACTGTGTTCTCACGGCTAATCATTTCTGCGTAGATAAAGAAGGGTCAGTTCGTTGCTTTCGTCGGAGCATCTGGTTGCGGCAAATCTACAATGATCGCTCTACTTGAACGGTTCTACGACCCCACAACAGGCTCAATCGACATTGACTCGGCCTGTTTGACTTCTCTCAACCCTCGACTGTATCGTCGCATTGTAGGACTCGTTCAACAAGAACCCACATTGCTTCAAGGTTCGATCCGCGATAATATCGCGTTGGGTGTCGATGAACCCTCTGACGATACCATTTCCTCGGCTGCCACAGAAACGGTCAGCGATAAGGAGATCGAGTCGGCATTGCGAGCTGCCAATGGCTGGGACTTTGTGTCGTCTCTACCTGAGGGTCTTTCTACCCCTGTTGGTTCTCATGGCACCCAGCTGTCCGGTGGCCAGCGGCAACGCATTGCTATTGCTCGTACACTTATTCGCGATCCGAAAGTGCTGCTTCTTGACGAGGCGACATCGGCGCTTGATACAGAAAGCGAGAAGATTATACAGGACGCGTTATCCAAGGCTACTAAGGACAGCAAGAGAATCACGATTGCCGTTGCTCACAGGCTTAGCACAATCAAGGATGCAGATACGATTTGCGTCTTTCATGCCGGGAAGATCAGGCAAGTGGGCACGCATCAAGAGTTGATCGCGCAAGGCGGCATGTATCGTAAGATGTGTGAGGCGCAGGCTTTGGATTAGTGGATATAATTTGTATTTTCTTTTTTAATTCTTAGGTAACGTCCATGATAAGCGAGTGTTACAAACACGTGAGTGTTACAAAAATCCCTCAACCTACAACATGTCTACGTCGTCAACTGTTTCTTCACCACCCAATATGCCTGAATTCAATAGTGAAGCTAATGTTATTCTCGCACTTCGTGCCCTTAAAAATGACCGAAAATTAACTCTCCGACGCGCCGCAAAGATCTATGAGGTTGATCCAATGA